CTCACAAGCCTTGGACTCGACGGGCCTGGTGATTAACCAACTTTGTTTCGATGTGAGCTCAATGCGGACGTATTTTTTAAACTCATTTCGGTTGAGCAAGTGAACGTGTTGAGAAGGGGCACTGCGTATCGGGGCGGGCAGCCGCAGCGTCGTATTTCTCATACAGAGTGATGTTGCAACTTCGTCGGCGTGTAGCAAGACATCGCACTATCGAGCACAGAGAACGCTGTCGGCTGTCACGTTGTCTTCGGCTGCCGAGCGTAAGGCACGCGTGTGCTTTGCGTGTGAGAGTGACGTCAACGCGCCACTTTCTCCACACTTTCGTCGTTGCTGGTGCGCTAAAAAACCCGAGCTCACTTAGACGAAGACTATGTACATACGATGCGACGTCGCACGCTCTGTCGAACAAAGCTATACGGAATTATTGTTTTCTGCGTGCAACTCCAATGCGTGTTTGTCCACTGTCAGCGGGCTCCCTCCAGTCGCAGTTACAGCACACACTAAAACAATAGGCATTAGATCAGCCTTTTAAATATTCCAATAAGGTATTAGCATGTTTCCTAACTGTATTTTGCTTACATTTTAATCTACATAGTCTAATAATTCACGCAAACAGTTCGCCATCTGAACGTTCAAGCCCGCACTGAAGGTTGTGCTGGTAGCGCTAGACACAGTTCAGTAGTACACTAATTTTAAGCGTTTTAATTCAGTCACAACAATTTGTGCTTAAATTCGTTCTGAAATACCGAACAAGTAAAATCCATTCGTTGCCATCGCACGCCTGTCTAATTAAGCTCTGTCATAGACTCTTCGAAGGCTCTATTACGAGCCGCCTCCAAACTTAGAGCGGACTATAACGCATTTGATATTCAATCAGTAATTGTTGCCGACAGAGAGTGGGTTTTATGCGGGGGTAGTAAGGTCGATAACGCGAGGGTGGAGTGAAATTCAGCTCGCTCAGTGTGACAATTACGGCGATGCGGCCCGCCCCGCGCCGCCGCAATCGATAGGCCTACGAGCGAGCCAGGAGGTTGCGCGGAGGGCTGGAGGGGGAGAGCGGTCATTACTTATGCAAAACAGCAGCTATACTAGTAAAAGCTGCTTCTGAGGCCGTCACGCACCCTTACTGTGGCCTCTGTCCACCGTCGACAACATGCTGAACACCAATATTGACCTTACGAAAATATTGATTTATCGACCCATAAACACTCCAGAACAATGACGCAGTCGACGCATCATCAAAAATTATACCTCAGATTTTAATGTAGCTGGTGACTTTTACGTATAACAATCTTTTGTTAGGGATCGCAGCGGACGAGAAAGTTCGGACCCTAATCTGTGCATTGGCAATGGGCTAACGAAGCCGGGGCTCGTTACTCAATTCGGAATAGTCTTTGTGCGCTCCCCAAGCGCGGTGCCCAGAAAGGGTCGTCCCTGACTTTTGTTTACTCTTGTGTATACTTTTTAGATTTCAACGGATTTGTCATCAGAAAAAGAAAGTTTATCTATTAAACTGAAATAAATATAATTATTTGAAAGGGATAAGGTAATATACAAACACTCAGTTAATATTTATTAATTACCTAAAAGAATAACATTAAAACTAAGCGGGATATGCCACCAAACTAGGCTAAGCTTGGGAAAAAGCTTGAGCGGGCGAGCTTTCGCGATAAAGTTTGCGCGGGAAGACTCATTCCCGCGCTTTAAACCTGTGAGTTTCCAAGCCGTTGTGGGGAGAGGGCTTTATATAAGTCAGTCGCCCCCTCCACTCGGTCGCTTCGTCCCCCTCGTTATATATAATGTAATTGGCAACAGCGGATCTTCAAGCTGAGCATTGTGGGCGCTCGCTCAAGCGCTGCCGCTACACGTCTCATATGTAGCGAGGTGGAAACTGAAGAAAAACTAAACCAACTATTTTTAAAGTTAGTCAAGATAAAAATACTTCCATTTTTATAAGGCAGTTACACCGAGACTTTTAATTTTTTTAATTTTAGCTGTATAATTTTATGTGATATTACTAGGTTCTTACTATCAAATGACATTTTAAGCAGTTTGCATAAATGGTTATTATTTATGAAGCAATATTTGTTTATACATAGTAGCAGATAAGTGAATTAGATGGAAACATACAATACTATCGAGAATTTTTAATATTTATTATTGTTCGCACTGTTATCTAATGTCATTATTTATCACTCGCATTTCGCATTAAAATCAAATTTGAGGTTGTAACTTATGGGTACTTATTACGAAATCACAGTTGACAAATAGTAATACAATGGCGTTAAAGTATGAATATAAGATTGTGTGTGTGTCAGGTCGGCGGTATCGCCTCTTATCAACCGCCAGCCACGTTATCAGGCTTCAAGGTGACGAGCCGATGTAACGCAACCGATTGCACGACTACTAAGATATCGCTTACAATTTTATGTTCCAACTTCTCTTTAATCCAACCAACACATTTAGCAATACCTACTTATTGACAATGGGACAAATATTCAATATAATCGAAAACTAGTCGGCGGAAAAATCAACTAGCAAAAGAAACTTGGTTCCTATTATAAAAATAACCCGCACATAAGTCTACAAGAACGAGTTCAATAACACTTACTGCCTAGGCGTCATTAACATCTAATAATTATGTCACTTTGAATTCAACGCATAGTAAACTATATTAGCCAAAGTTTTACAACTCACCGTCAGCCCACAGATTTCGCAAATATGTGTAACTCACTTTTTATTCCGTGTCGAAGTAGGTAGGTACCTACTCGTCGAATATAGGTGCAAAGTTGTCACATGTTGAGCAGGAACTCGTGCAGCAATTATGTATAATATCGGCAAGGCCACGTGCTCCGTTGACGTTAACAAACTTTCCTGATGTGGAGAAAACTTCGTGACATGTGAGCGGTAGATACTTACAATATGTTCGCTCCCTCGTCCGCTCCCGCCGACCCGCCCGCGTCGTGCCCCGCCGACGCCGGCACCGCCGCCGCCGTCGTGACTCAGCGGCGCCCTCGCGCGACGTCGCCCCGTCTGCCCCCATGGAAAATTTATACCCACCCTCTTCCAAAGATCATTACGATTGGACTCGACTAAATTGAACCTTGCTTTGTACAAATAGAGAATATTTTCGTCTGCGCCAAACGAACAAGACAAAGGAGCACCAGCAATTTCGTCGAAAACAAACCTTAACTCCTGTGGGATATAGTTTGTAATTTATGTGACGAAGTGGCTCACGTGCTTGGAAAACGCATCTGTGACGTCACGCGGCTAGTAGGCGGCTCGAGGGAGGCGCATCCTACAAACTTTTTTTATAAAATCAATGATCTAAAACGTCTACCTAAGTTAGTTGTGTTGTCTTGTTCCACAAAAAATATAGTCCGTGTTTTGGAGTGAGAAATGGTTTTATATTATATTGCACAAGTATTTTTTAAATGTTAAAAAATATAAAGCAAAGGAAAAGTTGATGAGTAGGTTGGTGGTTGGTCTAGCAGTGACAAGGGCTCTCATGATTCCGCTACGAGTTGGCTCGTCTACAGAGCTGTGCTCTCTCATCTCCTTAATTCGTCCTTCGCCGCAGCCCCCTTAATTCTCCCTTCTAGCATTGCTGCGAGGGAGGGCGCTCACTCTCTTGTTAACCCGAGTTCTCTCCCCTCCTCCTCTTATTTATACCCAGCGCATGGAGGCGGGCGAACGGAGGGTGGCACAGGGGGGCTCTATCGACGTCCGTACGCCGCGTCTATGTGCTGGTGAATTAAGAGCGAGTCGGCTTTCATTTTGCTAAAGCTTCCACGCTCGTGTGCTTGCCTTTCAGACGCTTTACTGGTGTACGCATCCTGCACAAACGGCTCTCGACTCTAAAACGACGGGGATAGGATCGTAAACGCCTCGTTCCACCCACCTCGCCTTCAGCATTTTATAACTTCGGAGGGCGAGGAGGTGGCTGAGTTTTTGTGAGTCGAAGGACTTTTTTGACTAACGTTTTTTATGTTTTACTTGGTTAGGGTTCGCTAAGATAACGACATCTCACAGAGGGTGGAAGTGTGCTCTCATAGAAGATACATGTTCCATGTTCAACTGAATTGATTTTTAATAAGATATCGAGTAGAAGTAGAAAAATATTAATAAAACTTTGTTCAGACTTGATTGCAAATGATGTACTACTATTTTCATTACGTGCGACGAGTTTAACAATCAACGCTTATAGAAATGTTTGTATATACGAGTATTAGTGTTGAAACTATTTTGTAAAGTTTGCGTGAGGATGAGAACGCGGTGGGTGGTTAAGTCTACGCACAACGTCTTCAGAGAAAGTGAAATTTAGCGCAACTTTGGAGAAATACAACTGAACTCCCAACCCCTCGTCCTCCCCGAATTTGAGGGGGCAGCAGTCGGTAAACGCGGCTTATAACAATTAAGATTAGTTCGCAGGTTTTTCTATTCGACTTGAATAATTTGTACTACGGTATCCGTGCCGATATTTGTAAGATTTGTAAGCATCATCAGCGCCTGTACCCTTAGACTATTAAGATACCCACCATTTCAGCGAGTTACATAAATTTACTAATTATAATTACTCGATGCTCAAATCCCAGAATATAATGAAAGTGATCAAATATTTGACGAATTTATTTCAAACGATAAGCCTTGAAATAAAGTACTACAGATGGTTGACAGAGATGAACAATATAATTTACATACATACGCAAATAGTACGCAGAGCTTAATGCTTAATTAGCTCGAATCGTAATCTGCATTTCACTCTATTTGCTCTGAAAAACATTAAATTCAAATGAAATGTCAGTACAATTTTTCAGTGCTGTGGTCAGATAATGAATTACCAAATATTAATTACTTTTTTGATATTTGATTGTGTTCTAAACTGTTTGGGGGAGTGATGTGTCAGAAGTGCATGCATGTATAGGTTAAAAATCGCGAGATCAACTGCCTTTGTGACGGTTGAACGACCTTTGCTAAGGTGTCGGTTTCGGGCAGGTTATTTAGTGCGGGGGTGGCGTGAGGCGCTCGGTAAGTGGGACGGGAGGGAGGCGGACCAGCCCCGGGTCGCCAGGCAACAGCAACTGGGTCACTCCGGGCCTGCCCGCCGCCCAACAATTATGTACACGCTCGTTACCGGACACGCGTTTTTCAATCACATCCATATTTAATTGGGAATCACGTAGCTGGAAAATGTGTTTGAACCGCTATGTTTTATGAGAACTTTATTTGAATTGCGAATAATAGCACTGATTTTATATATAATTGCAGTTTTTGTGTAATGTTACCTATCTTAAATTATATGTTTTGCTAAATAGGAGATCAGAAAATAATTAAAATTATTACTTGTACTGCCTTCTGAGACGAATGATTCTGGACTATACAGGTTACGGTACACTAAGGTATTTATGTACCTACTTATTAAAAAAAAGAACATGAGTGGTGAAGTAAGCAAGTACTGCGGGACACAACACAGTGTCTTCCGGTAATTCTTACAGACAAAACCTTCGCCCTAACTTGTTGCATGGATGCACCGCGGAGGGTAAGGGAGGTGAGAGGGGGTGCGGGAAGGCGCGGGCCGCAGTCGCGGAGGACGGGGGCGTCTTCATAGTGAATGGGCGCGAGATGTCGTGGCCGGCCGCCACGTGCGCGTATGGAGATGTCTCCATTGATAACCGTGACCTCGCCCTTATCGCCAGCTTGTCGATGACGCTGCATACATTTATCTGGTGCAGCCTTTACACACCTGTGTTCTTATTGTTTACATTAACAAACTTGTTGTTAGTTGCATAAGAATAGTAAATTTGTAAGCCAGGTAACCACCGTGGTGGTTTGTGCGCTTACCCCATGGAAAACCGTGGCATGAAAAAAATTGTTTGTATACCGGGTATATTATGTGTTTCTTGTAAAAGCCTTTTCAAGCCGAATACAATCTCAACATCGACAGGATGGGCGAAAGGAAGCTCCTTTCGAAATGCATACCTACGCAAACTTTTTTGTACTAAACAGTTACGGCGAACCCGACCTCAACTTTATTTGATCAGGGCAATAAAAAAAGTGGTCATGGGCATCACCACGAAAAATTTCTCAATACAGAATTACAAACTACACAAACTGTACAGTCGGCAGAACAGCGTGTATAGAGAGACAAATCTGTTCTAAGATAAGTTTTTAGTTAGCAGTATCTGTTTTTACCCAAGTCAAATAGACGTTAACCTAACCTATAATATAATTCTGTCTTAATCTTATCTCATATAATCTTCATGACAATTTCATAGGGGACTAAAAGGTAAAGGCAACAAGACCTATGTGAAACCAGTTCAAATGCACATGCATAGTTAGAGCACAAGACCTAGTAACAATTGAGCTCTGTAAATTGACATAACGAGGTCGCCTCAACTCGTAGACAATTAGCATTGAGCACGGGCGTCGGGCGGCGCATAGCAAATGCAGCCTTGACATTGACCGCCCTAATGTCGTCGCATCGATTGTCGCAACAAAACCATCTCCGAACAGCAAATAATAATAGTGTCGAAGCGATGAATGAGTATATTAGCGAGCGGCGCGGCCGGCGAGGCGGCGGCGGTGGCCCGGCGCCGAGTCATTACGCGCCCCCATTAATCACTGCAACAATCGGCCGATATCTCGCTATTTACAAACGCAGGAGCACGTGTTCACCGCTCGTACTACGCAGAGTGTATTGACCCATTTAGATAGCTCGACCTTCGCGCGGCCATTGTGAGCGAAAAACATAAAAATAAGTTTTATTGCGGCGTCGTTATGCGTATCGCTGCGGCGCGAGGCGCGGGCCCGCCCGTCACGCTCGCTCGCCGCCCAACAGCTGATCGCTACGTGACATTTTTATTTTATTCGCTCTCTTCCGGGGATTCTCCGAGATACGTGCCAGTGACGTCATTATCTGCCCGCGTGCGCCGCCGCTACCTGATTTATTATCTTAAATGCGCGATATCACTCCACCCTTGCGAATAAGCAAGATTTATACCGGCATGCAGTATTTACGCCGGTGTCTAACAATGTCAGTGTTAAACTTATTTAAGTGTCTTGAACCGGTTTACGTGTATCGCAACCGCATAATTACTTTACGTCAATTGCACATTTCGTTTTGCTCACTGATAGTCACTTTACATCAATAAATATTTCTGATGACCCACTACTACATTCAATAATGTGTGTTGAATCAATCCAAGTAAGTGCTGTTTATGTATGTATGGCTATCTCAAAAAGGGCGGACCCCATATATTACGTGTAGGAAGCCTTTAAGGTACTATAGCGCGCTAATGGGTCATACGTAGTATAGAACAGTTAGACGAGACGTACAGTGCAGGCTCGATAGCCGCAGTGTGTATACCTTATGTTCTCAGAAGGAAACATCTCCGGCCGACATTCCGACGATTTAACCGGCGACTGCCTTCGGGGAAGCGTGCGTCATCTCGCGCTCTACCGACAAAAACTACAAATTTTCCCTTTCATTGCATCGAGTGGTCGCGGCATCAGCCACGCTCATCATAATAAACGCATAATGCGTCGACTCGCACGCCTGCTCATTGTAAACAATGCGTTTCGGGAATTCCCTCTCTTTTTAACCGGGATCACATTCCTGAGGGATTCCTTTTGTTTGCTTTTCAACTGTTGTTAGTCTTTTTTTTCTCGTCGTCACCTTGAGATTGACCCTATTGACACTTGCATAACGGTATATGCATAGATATGAGCTTTTTGTTGTGTCCATTCAAGTCGTCGGACAAAAGCGCTTATCTCATAATAACACCTAATTGTATTGTTGTTTTTTTGTTTCAAATCGTACTAATGATAAAATTAAAATTTCAAAAGAAGGATCTTTTTTTTCAAATTATTTCTCATCGTTTTTGTTAAATCATAATTTTCAAAGTCAATCTACTAACTAATACATGTAGTAACAATACTGATAACGTTTCCTCTGGGTTCTAAATATATCATTTGCAAACGCCTCTCTCTTTAAGTCATTAAAAGATATGCCTGAAAAAAAGAACTTCTTATTTGTTCTATAATGGCCAACCAAACCCCTTACTTCAAAAGGCACGCTGGTGTTCTGTACCGTTAAACCTTACAAGATTGCCCCATTGATCCAACATTGCCCAGAAGGGTACTTTTTAGAAATATAGAAATATTTGATAAACAATTAAGTTACGTTTAATATTTGATCCTCTTTACAAAATTTCATCGTGTGCCTGGCAAGACTAAATGAGTGTCTATGATTAATGTCACTTCAGTTGGCGCTCAAACTGTGTTAAAGTTGGTGGTGTTTTTAGTGGGCTAAAGTTCATGCGAAAAACTTTTCATCAATCTCGAGTTGCTGTTGCCGCAGGTAAGTAATTCTTTAACCAGACTTAATTTGTAGCTTATTATTAACAATGCTTTAATATTTAATAGAATATAACTTCTAATAACCAAAAAATCATGGTGGGCAATGTTAAATTACTTTTTCTGAAGCATTGTTTACGACTTTGCCCACCAAGACATTACCGCTAGGGTTGTCATTTCCATGTTTAACCAACTAAATAAAGAGGAGGTTCTATATTCGTCTGCATGTAAGGGTTTTTTATGTATGTTAACCGTTTTGTCAACCTCAATAATTTATTGCATTATTATAGAATGGAGAGATATAGGAAATGGTAGAGTATATAATTAAGATAATTATTTATGTTTTAGAATGAAGGTTGGAAGGACACAAACCATAAGAAAAAGGTAAAGAATTTTCGGATCAAGAACATATAAAGATTATTCAGACGAAATGTTAGAATTAGCTGTTGACATGGTTCAACATAAAATAATGTCAAGTAGAGAAGCTGAAAAAAGGTTTGGAATCCCTCGACGGACCATATTAAATAAAGTAAGAAATCGCCACATGAAATCTGCTAGAGGACAAAAAAAACTTAGTAAAGAAGAGGAAGGAAAACTGGCAAAGGTATTGATAGTTTCGTTAGATTATGGCAGTCGTGTGACAAAAATGGTTATAAAAATGTTAGTTTCCATATACGTAGATAAAAACTCACGATCTGATTTGTTTGATGGCAAATTATCCAGTGATACCTGGGTAGATGGATTTTTGAACAGACACAGTTCGATGTTGACCATTAGAACGACTCAAAATATAAAAAAAGTCCGTGCTGAAAAAGGATTAGAAGAAATGGAAAATTTCTTTCAAAATTTATGACGAAACGAATTTATCTGACAATCCGGGTACTTCAAAGTGTGTTTTTAGAAGAGGTGTAAAATATCCTGATAGGATATTTAATAGCACAAAATCTTGTATTTCCATCATGTTTACTGCAAGGCATACTCCTGCAGCACAGTAGGAGTATGCCTACCAACATATGCACGTGGTGTACGAATCTACAAATTTGTACTCTGAATGGCTTGAAGGAGGTCCAGATAATACCAGATACAGTTCTTCTCTAAATCTGGCTGGTTTGATACAGCTACTTTAAATATCTGTATCTAAAATATATGGAACATATTATGTTTCTATATTTTAAGACTTACTAAGTACCCTATTATTATTATATTTATTTTTATTAAATAATATTATATTTGAATGTCGGTACGAGAAAACAGTACAAGACCGAGACGTAGATTTACGCGCGATTTACGAAAAATAAAAAGTGACAACCCTAGCTTATTGTTTTATTTGTATGAAAAGTTCCTAAATAATATTTAGGAGTTTGCCCACTTATTTTACACACACAATATGAACTTTAACCAGTTAATAATAACTCCCGATGTCAGATTAACTATTTATCTGTTGGGTCCTTAAATTGTAGGACGTAGAATGTAAAAAAAACCGTTTTTATAAAAGTTTCTGCAAAATGGGCAAAGCTGTAAAAAGTACAAGCCAATTTGCCCACTCTTTATGTTTGAATTTTTTTCATGGAAATATTGATAATCCTCGTATTATAAGATAATTTGTATAAAAACAGTACCTTTACTACCAAATAAACGCAATTACTTAGTAAAAATATTTTTATTCTTTACGTTATTCATCATTAAATATCAAAACCGAGAGAATTCGGGCAAAGTTGCAAGGTTTGACGGTACCCTGAATAAACACAAGGATATAAAAATATCTAAAATAAAATTCGATCCTCAAAACTATATCAAGTGTCTATATCTTGTAAATGTAAATGTTTCGTTTGAATTCTCAACTAAAACGTGTAAGATACCAGTTCTTCTACTTAACAGGTTATCATGAATCTGATCAATTCTTAAAACCTGGTTGAAAATAGTAAGAAGACCATGAAATATATAAAATATTCTCATCTTATTTATTTTTTACATTCACAAATCTCGTTTAGTGCGGAAGTTTGAGGTAGCACTTATAAAAATCATAATGAGTTTCGCTCGATAAGAAATGATTTAAGTTGTACTTCCGTAACTTTGGAAGGTATCTTACATATAATTTAATTTCCCGTAACTATGGAATTCTATACTAATTTTTCACCTCGTAACTGTAATTCACAATTTAACTACTATAATCAATATAAACCCCCAACTGAGACTACTCTTTCAGTTTATAACTACTGTGTTATAATTATATATTAACCCGTTATTTGGTTAATTCACAAACGGATGTGAAATATGAAGAAGAAATAAATTGATCATAGATATTAGTAATTTTCAATTTACCTACTACAGATAGATGTCGTAACATATAGATAGATATAAGTATTTACGTAAGTATACAAATACCTATATAGGTATTTATACTTAGTAAAATATGACATGAGTCACTGGAATGGGTACTGTGTTTGGCAAAAAATTGGATTACACAACTACTGTTAAAATCAATCGTACGCGGGTGAGCAGTAGCCAGAGGCGTGAAATAAAAAGCTCGACAGAAGCACAGCACGAAGCTGCGCGAGCGACGGCCCACCAAACAGGATGTGGGACTGGTCGGCGCACACACGCGCGCGCTCAATGCGCACACCCCAGCCACGCACACAAGCGCGCGCGGCCTCGCCGCTCTCCGCTCACGGAAATGTGCGTGCGCCAGGGCTGCCTGCCGCACCAAGCGCTCACTTTGCACGACCATATTTTCTATAATATTTTATTTTTATCATGCCGCTCCTCGCATCGCCGTTCAAGTTTATTAACACATTAAAGTGAGCAGTATTTTTACCCTATTATATCCCATTTGACCGTAGTAGACGAGGAATATAAAAACAAAAACAAGACCCCGGTTTGTGACGTTGAATATTAGTAAATCGTGAAAATAAAGTTTCGGCAGGTGTTCCGACCGTCGGACAGCCCTGGTGGCACGTCGAAGCCTCGACTTTATTCTCGTCGAGCTCGTTCGCCGCTCAGCCTCTATCATTTCGACAATTAATTGTCTCCAAGCAGGTTGTCAAATACTCTTGTACACTAGTTCGGAGGTAGAAATGAGAAAGAAACAAACACTCAATATTTCACACTACGCATAATATTGACTCCCTTGTCGTGTTGTACTTTTTAGGAAGTCAAACGTTGGTAAATTCCAGCGGTACATGAACACGGGATAGTAAATAAACACGTCAGGTATTTGCTATCTCTTATCTCGAGTGCAACAAACAGGTCCACAAACAACAAACTCCTTCTAATATGAATGAAATTAAGTGCCACCTTCGCGGGCACGTGTACTATTGTACTGAAAAGGAGCGTTTATGATTTAATCGGTCATTCAATCACTCCGATAGTGCAGCCTCTTTGTGTTGTTTCATGAATGGGCGACTAAAAATGAAATAAAAATCTACAATAGTGTTATGTTATGTCCGTGGGGCGTCGTAAACAATCAAAATTATTTATACAACCATCAATGTATTACACACAAACACGAAATTGGTGATACACGCCTGCGTTCGAATTGTCATAGAAACAAAAATAGATGCTCAGAAATAGTTGTACGAAGCGAAGGAAATTGTAAATAGTTGTCACAATCCTTCTTTATTCACTCATGCTCGGTGTATGTTCTTTACATTTTACCTATATTTTCAAATTGTCTTCAGTGTGACAAAAAATTTACTTAAAAAAATAAATTTTGTAGGTATGTTTTCTAGGCACATAGATAATAACTGCGGCGTACTATTTTCTCATGTGGGTCGGTCGACCCCATAACGTGGCCCAGTACACCCCGCTTTATAGTTGGGTGTATAATACAACATTTGTCGGCGAGTCGACGCGCAGCAAGCGTAGGTAGCTGTAGCGCTAGATAGGAGCGCGGCCGCTACGCGATGTTATTATGTGCGCGCCTATGTGCGCGTGCACGTCGCACACAGGCGCCCGCGTCCTCCTCACCCCGCAACCCCCCGCCGACCCGCGTCGCTCGACATGGCTCTACCGCGCTGTGAGGCAATGCCGTTGCCGTGCCGCCGTCTATTTGGTCTCCACAATGCCATAGAAAGTCTCCGTTCGAATCGCCTCGTGCGGCCGAACTTTTCCTACCTCCACGAGCGAGAGGCGCCATAATAGCATCGCTCCGACGACGAGTGTGACTTCTCAACACATACACTAGGATTCTTTATGTTTGTTATTTTTAATAAGCACTAACTTCTCGGCTCTCAGCTATAGCGGTACGGTTATAAAATGCCGCATATCCGAGACTAGCGATAAAATAAACGTCTGACGTTTCCAAGTTTCGAGCGGAGAGAACGAGCGACTAGGGATTTTCCGATACCAACTAAGTATCGATACTTACTCATTTCGATAATACTCAAATCTTTTTTCGATACTACACAAATAAGTACTCCTCAAGTATCGATACTTACTGATATCGATACTTTTTGGAACTTTTATTTTATTATTTTGAGGGTGCTATCAATGAACGTTGAAGGATAATAATTTAAACAAAATTGAGACGAAAAAAAACTATTTATTTATTATAAATGTTTATTAGGCTTATTATAATTTAAACAAAAAACTTTTCAGCATTAAGATTGCCCAAAAACAGTAACTGTTCAGGTATTTAGAAGACAATCTGTTTCTTGTTTGTGTCATTGTTGCACCGGCTTTGGAAAAAAGGCACTCGCTAGGAACTGATGTTGCAACAACAATTAAATATTGCTGTGCATACTTGTACAGACAAGGAAACACCAACTTCATGTCATCCCATTCTGCAAATGGGTTGCTTTTAAGAGAAACTACTGGATTTGATAAATAAAGAGAAACTTCATCTCCCTGATGAGATTTTTTTTTCTTCTTGTGCCCATGTGCTAACTCTTTATGATGTTTCCAAAAATCGTATTCAGGTGGTGCAGTAGATGAGACATCATCTTCTGACTCACTTGGGCTACTTAGTTGTCCGACAACCATGGTTCTAAGTTTTTGAATAGCTCTTCCGCATGCAGAGGGGTCTTGGAAATGCAGATTTTTAAACCTTGGGTCTAGAATTGTTGCAATGGCTGCATGGTCGTTTAATTCAATCATCCCATACCTCCTTTTCAGCTCTCTCAATAAAACATCCTTACATTCTTTAACGATAGCGGAGTTTGGAGTGATACTATTCAGTTCTGTAGTTAAGCAATTAAGCATTGGTATAATTTTGGAGATTGTTACATACTTTTGGCCCGATGATTCTCTTGTTACATATTCAAAAGGCTTTGCACCACTGCACTTGGCAAATTTGGAGCCACTACACTCTCAATTACAATTTCTGATATTACTATTCTTAACTTTAGAAATCGCTCTAACATAAAAAAAGTTGAGTTCCACCTAGTTCTTACATCTGCAATAAGTTTTAAAACTGATCCTGCCGAAACATTATTACGCATTTGGATTTTTCGTAGCTTATCCGACTGCACAACACTATTTTTTATCCAATTAAGAATTTCTCGTACTTTTATAACAGCTGATTTAACACTGGGCAACTTTAGTGCCTCTTCAACTACAAGGTTAATAGTATGGGCAAAACACGGTAAATGTTTTTTTTCGCCTAAAGACATTCGTATGGCAGCCAACATTGAACTGGCATTATCTGATACAGCAGCACGAATTTTGGTAAGTGGAATATTCCATTTTTTCAAATATCCAGCAGGTTTTCCGATATGTATTCAGCTGTATGTCGCTCTCTTAATGCACGAGTTGCAAGATAATACATACACATTTGACCATTTTCTACAAAATGTATGGTGACGCCCATGAATCCTACTTCATTCATTGTCTCTGTCCATATGTCCAGCGTTAAACAGAAATTGTCTATCTTGGATAATTTGGACTTACAAATAGTTATACAAGCTTCGTACTTTTCGGTAGTCATTTTCTTTAAATACTTTGCGCCAGGAACTTTAAAAGTAGGCTCCAGTTCTTTTACAAGTCGTAAAAAGCCTTCACCTTCAACTATATTAAATGGACGCATATCTTGACAGATAAAAAATATCAATGCTTGAACAATTCTGTTATACTTCGTACCACCAGCTAAAAATAAAACTCAATTTTAATACATGTAATATTAAATTAAATATTTATATTTTTTTCTTTAACACTAATACTATATGTATTAATATTATTTTGCTAATATTTAATTAAATATCTATTTATTTACCTTTATTAGATGAAATTCGTTCAAACGCATTCTTTATTGAATTGCTCAGACATAGCTCCCTTGCAGTCTCCGAGTCCATACTTGTTAATGTGGTTACACTAGAGCAATCATCACGATCTTCTGAAATTTTCGATGTTGATGCTTGGGGTTGATCATCTTCCATTAAATGCCTTGAGTTGGCCAACACTATTGTATTTTTTGAACTGAAACATAATAACAAAAATTAACACTTGATAGATCGATAATCTTCAAAGTATCGATAATACCAACTCCAACACTACCGCCATTTAACAACACTATTACACTAACAAAAACAAACACATAACCTTAAATTGTTTAAATCGTATTTATACAAAGGAAATATCTCATCACCGGTCATCAATTATTATTCATATATTATTAATATATAGACAAGACAATCACAGTACCACTGCTGCAAAACTATTTTTTATACAAATAAAATAGGTAGGAGTAGGTAGGATTTTTTATTTAACATCTTAGGAAAGCAATCGCAAAAAAAAAGAAAAGTTTAGAATCCTACCTTTCGTTGGACTTATTATTTTCTTTTTTCTGTAATTTGCCTTTGTCCACAGAAATTCCATGAGTTTTAGAATGCTTGAATAAATTCGACGTATTCCCACAATACTTCACAGACTTAAAACACTGTTTACATTTTGCAATTGTTTCGTTTGTTTTGGTAAAATGTGTCCATATTATAGATTTTGGTGGTGCCATGATAACATTGGAATAAACCGATGAATTTGATGATTACAATTAATAAAATTACTTGTAAGCAATCACTTAACACTTTCACAATGGCGGAATGGCGAGATGATTTGCGAGCGGGTGCGGGTGTTTTCTTCTCTCGCTTTCGGCTCGGGCGGGCTCGGCTGAAGTCGGACGAATTCGGCTAGCCCAGCGCGAGACAACGCGTCACTCACGCCGCCACGCGACGAATACCGGTAACTCGGTAACCTGATTAGCTGACTGTTTTTGCCTCGTTTTTGCTCTCTTAGTTCTGTATGATGCGTTCTCGGTTTTTTTATTGTATTCGGTTGTTTTTGCTGATTCGATTCGATACCAAGTATTTTTGTTTCGATACCGATTATGTATCGCAAAATTGATTCGATACAATAAATACTTGGTATCGAATCAAAAGTATCGAGTACCTACTCGTATTTATTAGTATCGGAATATCCCTACGAGCGACTAGGGATATTCCGATACTAATAAATACGAGTAGGTACTCGATACTTTTGATTCGATACCAAGTATTTATTGTATCGAATCAATTTTGCGATACATAATCGGTATCGAAACAAAAATACTTGGTATCGAATCGAATCAGCAAAACAACCGAATACAATAAAAAAACCGAGAACGCATCATACAGAACTAAGAGAGCAAAAACGAGGCAAAAACAGTCAGCTAATCAGGTTACCGAGTTACCGGTATTCGTCGCGTGGCGGCGTGAGTGACGCGTTGTCTCGCGCTGGGCTAGCCGAATTCGTCCGACTTCAGCCGAGCCCGCCCGAGCCGAAAGCGAGAGAAGAAAACACCCGCACCCGCTCGCAAATCATCTCGCCATTCCGCCATTGTGAAAGTGTTAAGTGATTGCTTACAAGTAATTTTATTAATTGTAATCATCAAATTCATCGGTTTTATTCCAATGTTATCATGGCACCACCAAAATCTATAATATGGACACATTTTACCAAAACAAACGAAACAATTGCAAAATGTAAACAGTGTTTTAAGTCTGTGAAGTATTGTGGGAATACGTCGAATTTATTCAAGCATTCTAAAACTCATGGAATTTCTGTGGACAAAGGCAAATTACAGAAAAAGAAAATAATAAGTCCAACGAAAGGTAGGATTCTAAACTTTTCTTTTTTTTTTGCGATTGCTTTCCTAAGATGTTAAATAAAAAATCCTACCTACTCCTACCTATTTTATTTGTATAAAAATAGTTTTGCAGCAGTGGTACTGTGATTGTCTTGTCTATATATTAATAATATATGAATAATAATTGATGACCGGTGATGAGATATTTCCTTTGTATAAATACGATTTAAACAATTTAAGGTTATGTGTTTGTTTTTGTTAGTGTAATAGTGTTGTTAAATGGCGGTAGTGTTGGAGTTGGTATTATCGATACTTTGAAGATTATCGATCTATCAAGTGTTAATTTTTGTTATTATGTTTCAGTTCAAAAATACAATAGTGTTGGCCAACTCAAGGCATTTAATGGAAGATGATCAACCCCAAGCATCAACATCGAAAATTTCAGAAGATCGTGATGATTGCTCTAGTGTAACCACATTAACAAGTATGGACTCGGAGACTGCAAGGGAGCTATGTCTGAGCAATTCAATAAAGAATGCGTTTGAACGAATTTCATCTAATAAAGGTAAATAAATAGATATTTAATTAAATATTAGCAAAATAATATTAATACATATAGTATTAGTGTTAAAGAAAAAAATATAAATATTTAATTTAATATTACATGTATTAAAATTGAGTTTTATTTTTAGCTGGTGGTACGAAGTATAACAGAATTGTTCAAGCATTGATATTTTTTATCTGTCAAGATATGCGTCCATTTAATATAGTTGAAGGTGAAGGCTTTTTACGACTTGTAAAAGAACTGGAGCCTACTTTTAAAGTTCCTGGCGCAAAGTATTTAAAGAAAATGACTACCGAAAAGTACGAAGCTTGTATAACTATTTGTAAGTCCAAATTATCCAAGATAGACAATTTCTGTTTAACGCTGGACATATGGACAGAGACAATGAATGAAGTAGGATTCATGGGCGTCACCATACATTTTGTAGAAAATGGTCAAATGTGTATGTATTATCTTGCAACTCGTGCATTAAGAGAGCGACATACAGCTGAATACATATCGGAAAACCTGCTGGATATTTTGAAAAAATGGAATATTCCACTTACCAAAATTCGTGCTGCTGTATCAGATAATGCCAGTTCAATGTTGGCTGCCATACGAATGTCTTTAGGCGAAAAAAAACATTTACCGTGTTTTGCCCATACTATTAACCTTGTAGTTGAAGAGGCACTAAAGTTGCCCAGTGTTAAATCAGCTGTTATAAAAGTACGAGAAATTCTTAATTGATAAAAAATAGTGTTGTGCAGTCGGATAAGCTACGAAAAATCCAAATGCGTAATAATGTTTCGGCAGGATCAGTTTTAAAACTTATTGCAGATGTAAGAACTAGGTGGAACTCAACTTTTTTTATGTTAGAGCGATTTCTAAAGTTAAGAATAGTAATATCAGAAATTGTAATTGAGAGTGTAGTGGCTCCAAATTTGCCAAGTGCAGTGGTGCAAAGCCTTTTGAATATGTAACAAGAGAATCATCGGGCCAAAAGTATGTAACAATCTCCAAAATTATACCAATGCTTAATTGCTTAACTACAGAACTGAATAGTATCACTCCAAACTCCGCTATCGTTAAAGAATGTAAGGATGTTTTATTGAGAGAGCTGAAAAGGAGGTATGGGATGATTGAATTAAACGACCATGCAGCCATTGCAACAATTCTAGACCCAAGGTTTAAAAATCTGCATTTCCAAGACCCCTCTGCATGCGGAAGAGCTATTCAAAAACTTAGAACCATGGTTGTCGGACAACTAAGTAGCCCAAGTGAGTCAGAAGATGATGTCTCATCTACTGCACCACCTGAATACGATTTTTGGAAACATCATAAAGAGTTAGCACATGGGCACAAGAAGAAAAAAAAATCTCATCAGGGAGATGAAGTTTCTCTTTATTTATCAAATCCAGTAGTTTCTCTTAAAAGCAACCCATTTGCAGAATGGGATGACATGAAGTTGGTGTTTCCTTGTCTGTACAAGTATGCACAGCAATATTTAATTGTTGTTGCAACATCAGTTCCTAGCGAGTGCCTTTTTTCCAAAGCCGGTGCAACAATGACACAAACAAGAAACAGATTGTCTTCTAAATACCTTGAACAGTTACTGTTTTTTGGGCAATCTTAATGCTGAAAAGTTTTTTGTTTAAATTATAATAAGCCTAATAAACATTTATAATAAATAAATAGTTTTTTTCGTCTCAATTTTGTTTAAATTATTATCCTTCAACGTTCATTGATAGCACCCTCAAAATAATAAAATAAAAGTTCCAAAAAGTATCGATATCAGTAAGTATCGATACTTGAGGAGTACTTATTTGTGTAGTATCGAAAAAAGATTTGAGTATTATCGAAATGAGTAAGTATCGATACTTAGTTGGTATCGGAAAATCCCTACGAGCGACGCGCTGCGCATCAGAAAAAGAACTTTACGACAAGATTAGAAAGAGCGGTCGGAACGGCAACGTCGCGCAGCCGCGTTCCAGAGGCACGGAGCGGCAACACGCCGCGCGAACGTCATTTACTAAATTTATTTTCATGAGCGCCAGCGCTGGCGACGACACCGCTACATACATATTGCGTTCTCGGGCGCCGCGTGTTACTGTCTCACGCTAGATATTATCTAGGTATTTCTGCATATTGAAAACCTGTCTCGTTTATGATTGTCTTATAATGAACGGTAGGTGTAGAATGGAAGGCCTGCAATAATCGCAGAGTAGAGTGAGGTGGCACGTTTTCCTCCGAGCGATAAAAGAGGTGACGCAAAGTGATTATTTGCAGCGTTGCGATGAGTGGTCGCTGAGTCAACGCAACGGCACGATGGCGACGGACCACGGTTCGCCACTCGCAATACTGACAACTAGCGCCTGCAACCTACTTACTAACCGATCATGCGTTCTTAACTTTTTGCGTTCATTTTATTTTTTCACTCTCGTGGATTTAAAAATGTTTAAAAGCTTTTCTACATTTCAATTCACACCATTGTAAGGAGTGGTTTGTAAAATTACATTCGGGATAGGTAGGTATGTCTAATAACTTATAGCGAGCAATAGAAATGGTTTGTTTTTAAAGTTTATCCTAGCTATAAAACAAGCGTATAAAAAAAAGATCCTCAAACGTTCCCTTAAGTACCTACCTACTTGCATAAATGTATAAAACCTTAAATTGTCTCTTGAAGGTTGCATGCTTATTTCACCGTAGTTCACTACTATAAAAACCGATTGTTAGTTACTTGAAGACGATATACCTATAGTTATAGGCATTTGTGGGTTGATTTCACTATTTATTTATTGCAATGCTCAAAATGAAGGTCCCAGGATGGTCCCATCATTATTATGAATCAAAAAATGATATACCTACTTGGTCCTACTCTATTAAGTACATGAACAAAAACGCCTTTTTAGAAAATTTGGCTTACAGATATTATGTTACGTCCTAATTAAAACTACATATAACCAGATAAATGTAGACGAAAGCTCCGAAAGCTTTTCTCATAATAATAATAAAAATAATTAGATAAAAATCTGAATAAAAAGAATTTATATATTATTGAAAACATCAATTTGACATTTAACGTACTTAGATTGTTATCTATAAATATAAAGCTGTTAGGTAAAATACTACTTAAATAATTTCCCCTTAATGAGGTCCTGTAATATTTCTAAATTGTAATAGGATGTTTAAACGATAACGCGTCTAGGCAGGTTCGCGAATACGCGTGTCCCAACTAATTGTAGCGGCAGGTGTATTGGCATCTGCCACCTGCTGGACTTTGCCAGTTACCATCTTTTTTTTTACACAACATATGCATCACTCGGTTGATGTTCGCTGGCCCGATGCGTTGCAGATTGGCGTACAACAAGTAACTGAACCAGCGATGTATACCCAAGCGCGATAGTAATGCCATGAAATATGTTACTGCAGTAAAAGTCAACGCGCCCTCGACGCTTGCTCGTCCGTCATTTATATGTACTAAAGAGTCCGGCTGCAGCTGCTATCGTCATAGCTAGTTATTCAAGTTCAAAGTAACAACATGTACAAAATAACACCTGTAACACACATAGCGTGTAGATTTCTTAATTGGTTTATTTCGGAACGATCATATATAGAGTATTTTCTGCTATCGAAAGAATGCAGTACGACAGAAGGGCAGCTTAAATCCGGCGGGTGCGTAGTTCTCAGAGCCCTTTACCTGAGCGCTCCCCGTTACCCGGCCCTTAGGGCTGCGCTCCCGGAGCGTATTGTCGCAAAAAAAACTGAGTAGGGTCGGAGCGTGCACAATAGCAGAGCTCCGAGCTCCCCACCAGGTACTTTTATACGCCGCCCGTATGGGACGTTGGCTCGATACCGATTATTTGGGACACTGCGTCAGTTTGTTTGCAAGACGAAACTCAATAAACTACGAAAATAATATGATATATTGTTAATTTGTCTTGACATTATTATTCAATAGGTAAATCAATGTAGGCACGATATGCTATAGATGATAAAAACAAACAACAAGAATAAGGTGGAATTAAGAGAACCACCGACATCTAAAATTTGTAAAAAAAACATAAAATTTTCATCCCCACCACTTGAATAATTGGCACTCCACCACTGTGCGCTTTCCGAGACACTTTTTGCCTCGCACTATCAACCTGTGGAACGGGTCATCATCAGCGGTTTTTCTGGACCGATACGACCTTCAAACCTTTAAGAAACGAGCGTAATCAGTCCTCAAAGGCCGGCAACGCGCTTGTGAGCTCTGCCTCGTCTGCTGGTTTGCCCCCTATTCCATAAAAAAATAATGAAGCATTATCGCGGTGTCACCGTCCACAGTTATTGGCTGCCATAACCCACACGCTATTATACACTGTCTTCTCTTGTAATTGATATGCACACCTAGATGTACGATATCGGAGATCCATGAAGTGGATTGACTAAATTTCGAGTGAGATTTATTTATTACTTATTACTCTGCCATTTTTTTATAAGGTAACTTTTTGATTTGTACCTAGATAAAATAAACGTCAATGTCATTATGAATAATTCCAATGTTTGTAATGGTACAAAAACACTTTTTAATCTCAATGTTGACTTAGTATTTAGAGCTCCTAGTAAGCGAATAAAAAAATAAATTAATGTTATTAACGAAGTGTGTCTGGTTTTGCAGGGCTCGGGCGGCGGGTGCGGCGCCAAGCGGCGCGCCGGCTCCCCGTGTGAGGGCGGCGGCAAGGTCGCTCGCTGGGAAGACTCGATAGCGAGGCTAGAAGCCGTAGCAGCCGGCGCTGGTGGCGGTGACTGCTGGCGCAGCGAGGAAGAAGAGAGGCGCGCGTGCCGTCGCCGCTGGTGCGGTGGCTGGTGCGGCGCGCACGATACCATTCGTGCCGAAAACGGCAAGTCCTACTTGGAGCTGGGCGGTGCTGCGGCACGCGCCTGCTGCGACGGCCGCGCGGCCGGTCGCTGCGCCTCGCGACGCTGCTACCGCGAGAGACGATTTAAGATGATGAATCTGTGTGCGCTCAAGCTTGCAAGATTACGTCAGACGGCGGACCCTTCATTAAGGCGATCGGTGCTCGTGTGTAATACGCTACGAGGGATCGAGCGAGAGATGGAACGTGAGAACGCCGAGGAGGCACCCTTCGAGCCGGCGTGTGTGGCCGGCGGCGTGGCGCGCTGCGAACTGCTGGGATCCAGGGACCCAGCCGCCGGTCGCGCAACGCCCTTCCCTACGCCGCCGCCGCCCGATCGAGATTCGGGCTATGGCGACGAGGAGCAGCGCACCATCGACTGGGGCTCAGTACTGAGCCTTTCGTCGCGGTCAGCGCTCGACCCCCCAGAAGATACGTGGCCCGACGATTGGGGTTGGAGCGAGGACAGTTTCGTGCGGCTGCTGGTGCCCACGAGTTAGTGCAGTGCGCGCGGGCAGGAGTCGCCCGCGCCGCATTGAGCCTGTGATAGGGCGGCCTCGCGCCCAGCCCCCGCGGCACTTCTAGTCGGAGGCGCCGCGCCGCCGCCGCTGCCGCGCTCCCGATCAGCGCCAGCGCGCCCGCCGCGCCGCTCGGACGAGGGGGCGACGCGACGCAAACATGCAGTCAGTAGTTAGTATTATGTAATTGCTAAAGGGAAGGTGCTAGCTTCGGACGTGACGCAGGACTTAAATGCGAGCCGAGTTATTTTTGATAGTTTTATTTTCTTTAAGTGAATTCCAAACCGAATGAAAGTGACTTAGCTAATGAAGTTATTATGGTTTAAATTAAAACTCAGGTGTTTGAAATTTTGTTGAAATTATTATGTAATTAATTAGGTAAATATAACTATATTTATTTCGTTGACCGGAAGAAGAAAAGTGACAATTTGAAATTATTTCTGTCTTGATATTTTCATTGAAATGTATCTGAACAACGAGCATTACTTTACGTTTGTTTTGGGTTATGATAACGGACAGAAATCTCGTTCGTGACGTGCGCTCCACATCCACCATAAGTCGAGGCACGACCTGGCCATCATTTTTGTTAATTTAATTACGTCTGTTGAACTGTGGAGCGCAGAGTAACGAAGGAGAAGTTTTCAAGTATGTCATATAGTAATAATGTGTGGACATGTGCTGTTTTAATATGCGCACGGCTATTGGTAAAGCTACTGCCATACGATGGTTTATGCGAACAATGACGAACAAATACTAGAGTACCTTAGTACTTAATGTAACTGATGAACTTTCATTAGTTCTACATCCACCACACGGCACACGCCAGTGTGAGTGTGGCACCACTCGTAACAGGATGTCAATTAAATAAGCCTTACCAGCTGTGACTATGAAAGTTTCATGATTACAGGAATCGTGCATTTGAATAATTGGAATTTGTAACACAGGACTGATCTGTGGCTGTAGGTACTTAAATCATACATAATTTGGAATTGAAGAGTTCTGTCCATTGGTTCGGATGCTTTCTAATGACACTATAACTTTAAATAGTCTAAGATTTTAATTTAGGCTTAAATCGAAATAACTATAATCTGTCTCATCGAATAGTTTATTTTACTAAAACTAACAGTGAACTGCAGTTCCTAATACGTAATTAAACATAATTAGAACAATATTTAATTTATTTGAAACCGGCTTCTGGTTTTATCCCGGAGCATGTATTTGTTAGAAGGCATCCGAAAATATTCAGATAAGATTTCCCATAAACAAAATGTAGTTGTTGATGGACTCATAAAAATGCATTAGGATTTGAGATAGGAAATCGGTTGATAAATGATAACAAAACATGTCGTGCAACCCGTCGTTCCTAAACAGAGACAGGTACGAAAAGCATCGCCGAAACAAAAATATATGGAGAGATGTTTTACTTTGAAACGTTCTCTCATTAGTAACATCGGGTTGTGGCGCGCACTCGAAACACTAGCTGATCTCAACGAGGAACTGTGCTCGACTCTTACCCGAGAACGTCCATGTCGACTGAGTTCCCCCTTATCATTTGAGTCAATAATTTCTGTACTTAAGACTATATGTGAAGGGTTGTCGAACAGTTCTCGTGGGACGCGGCGTCCCGCCCGAACCTCGGTATTGTGACTGCATGGACCAAACATACTAGCACGACTTTTAAATATAGCAAGTACAAATTTCAATATTAAGATGCATTTGTGCTCCGGCTCATGTTTGTCCACCGTTGTCAATTACTCAAATATGTGAATTGTGATTCGGTAGCTAATGAGAGAAAACTATGTTCTTAAATTAGTGTACATATTATATACGGAGATGGGCATTATGGCGTGGTGTATACGCGGCCGTTGTAAATATATTATGTAAAGTAATAATTTTATTGATGTCGATTGTCGGGTAGGCAGCTCACACCGCACGGCTTGGTGCCAGCCGCCCCTCTTGTATAAACGACCTCTTATTCTGTCCAATACACTCAACAAGTACAGATTTACAAGTTACATATTAATGCATTTTAATATAAATAAGATGTCACAAAAAAATTATCGCCAGTACAGACCAATATACATGAACAACCTTTAGTTATAATTTTGGGTTCTAAACTCATAAGTGATGCACTGAGTAAATGAATAATCAGCTCAATCTATTTTATTTTATGGGTTATTATTTCGTAGATATTCTGTTGATGATGTCCGTATGGTTGGTTGTGATGGTTTACTTAAGTAAGTTAGCTACTCTCCGGCAAATTGCCCTGTTTCAATTGTACCTACCCATTACCTACATTTTACTATATATTTGTACTAACATTTTTGAATCATGGTAACGTGTTCCTGTCGCCCACATACGAATATATCGCAAGTACTTAACATAGGTTAAGATTAGTCCAACTTTCTGTCAAACTTTTTATTTAAATTATGGTTTATTTGTACGTGTGCGACACGAAGGCGACACTTTAAAATGCTTTCAGTATGGTGTAGGTACAGAAACACTTTATATCCTGTCATTTTCACAAATAGACCGGCATATTATGCTTGTACTGTTGGTACAACAGATATAAAAAACATATATAAATGTAATTTGATTGTAAAATTTTGTACTAACGTAAATAGTGGGCCTATTCTGTACACTTAGTACGAGTTACAATTGTGAACTAGCCAAGTAAGTGATCATGGATTTCAATCTAATCTTCAATCATAAAATAAACATCCTTTAGTACTAGCATTTGTAGGACGTTCTTGATCGGCTTGCACTGAAAGGCGTTTATTGCGTGAGGTAACTTCTTGCTAAACTCAGCTAAATATGATCGCTTCTGGTAAATCGTAGCTCGTACTATGGGTTCGTATTGAACACTCCTGACCCGTTATTGTTTGTGTTCGACCAAGAGTCGGTGCGGGTTGGACGTGGAGTGACCGCACAATGTGCCCCCCCCCCCTCTCCCCAGCAATAATTGACGACAGGTAGACTCCTCATCGCACCGTCTCAACTCTGTTGCGAGCGCTTCCAAGAAGCTCTCGCAACGATTTCATACGTAACTTAACTATTATATTTATATAAGTAAGTGTTTTTTCTCAATATTTTTCATTGCCATTGGTTACCAAAAATGACAGGATTTTTATTGAAACTATTGTGAATATATTTTAGAAGAAATACTCTCGTTAGTAAATTGAGAAAACTATTTTGAAGGGGCTCATATTGCACATCGAATTGTTAAATCGTTCCTCATTATGTTGGAGTTTCTCAAAATCGTTTCTCGATTTGTCTAATGTAAGATATATAATTGTAATATATTATTGTTTAAGCCGTTGTATCGAAAATAACAAGAACAGGAATAATTTTGTGAAACAATGGCACAAAGAATGAACATAAATATTATATATTATAGAAACAGAAAATGTGGCTATAAAAGCAATTTTTATAATAAATATTTACTGTTGAAGGAAAACTCTGCTTTTTATTTGCATATTACACAGTTCGCTATGGGTTTGGTACACAAACCCATAAACATATTTCTCAAATTCCCAAAAAATGTAATACAAGTTGCGGTCGCCTATCGTGTTTAACTGGAAATTGATACAATTATAATTGATCTCTAATTAGTGAGTGGGACTATTCTACAGTTTACAAAAACAAGACTGCATATAGCAGTTACTACAGAGAAAGCCAATAGAGTTCAAAGAGAAGAAATCAAAAAGAAATGCCGACTAGATGCTTCAACAACCTTAAAATCTGTATGACGTTGAGTGTTATAGGAATGAGAGGGCACTGTAGACTTGTACTAGAATAAGTGGAACGTTTTTAAGTTATAGTAAAGTGCTCATTTTTTTTAAGTTGGGTTTTCGATACCTCGCAGCTAGGGTAGACTTGCTAGTGCCACAGCTGACCGCCATGAATTAGGTACATACATCACGAACATCATCTGGACTCAAGACTTCTTGATTGTAACTATCGTAATCGACCAACCGTACGTAGAAGAAGGTTACGATAAAGGCTATTCGCCCTTATGTTAGGCTTGAATTCCGGATAAACCCAACACTATTCTGCAAACTACACATGATTGATTGATTGATCTAGATCTATGTGTACAGTTCGTCTATGAATTCTATAGAAAAATGTGTATATTTATTATTTATTACCCTTACATATTTATTAATCCATTTTATGGAACACATTACCGCATGTTGAGTTTTGGAAGGTAGGTAGATTTCAGTTTGTAAATACAATTATATTATACATAGAAACGCTCAGATGTGCTCATGCATAGAAATATTTGCATAGTGCGGAAACCGAACCGGAAACCTCTCACGTTGCAGTCAAATGCTAGGCGCCCACGCCGACGAGGCCATCAATGTTCCTATTACAATTAAGAGTTTATTTATATTATTAACTGATTAGTTACACCTTTCCCATTGTACGGTGTTTTCCCATTGTGTTGCAGGAGGTTGTCCCCATAGGGAAAAGTGAAATTAAACCGCCAGGACCGTTCAAACCGTTTCTCTGCAGTAGTTTAAGTATAACATTATTTGCAGATTGCTCTTTCTAAACTATAGAAAATATCGGAAAGATTGAGGACTTTATTGCTCAAGAGATGATCTACTAACAGACTTATTCAAGGACAATGTGAATATAGGACAATCGAGAACATTATTCCGTGTGGTGATGGATTAATAATACGGAGTGTTACCACCTCTACTCATTCCGTGGGTGTCGTAAAAACCGACTAAGGGAGCTAGCTACAACAGCACTCTAAAGAAAAGGAAAACTTAACACAAACCCTATACCAACCAACCCGTCTGGCCAGCGATGTATAATAGGCCAAAACCTTTCCAAGGAGCGGCCTAAGTCCAGCGGAGCGGTCTATTAAAGGCTGTTGATGTGATGTGTGATGACAACATTATTCAGTAAATATTACCTATTGCGAGCCCCAGTTTGGAACGCAAACTTGTTTTAGCCTACAGCCCCCAAATTCGTGGTCGACTCGCTAATGTTGGTGTCATGGTTAAACAAATATAGATAAGCAAAATCTAATTCTAATGAAATCCTGGCTTTCCAATCACGTCTTCTATAGAGCGCCCAGGGCCTCAATTCTGCTATTTTATTTTTACGACAAGCCAGTGTCATACCACTGACACGCTATTGAGATGCCATCGAGTAGCCATTGGCATCGGTATAAATATCGGTAGTTGAAAATATATTACGTTTTTTGAGGAAATGTTTTTTTTTTGTTTTTTATTTTAATAAATTATTTAAAGAAATAAATAAATAAAAACAAATTTTTCAAAAAAAAAATATTAAAATAAATAATTAAAAAAAAAGAAATAAATAAATTAAAAAAAGAACTAAATAAATTATTGAAATAAAAAATAAAAAATCATTTTCCTCAAAAAACGTAATATATTTTCAACTACCGATATTTATAAAGATGCCAATGGCTACTCGATGGCATCTCAATAGCGTGTCAGTGGTATGACACTGGCTTGGCGTAATAGCAGAATTGAGGCCCAGGTGGTATGCTTACACTTCTGCCTAAAGAATACTCATTGTGGGATCAGACCTACTTACTAATAAAAAATCCACTTTGATAAATAACTCATTTTTACCTTAGACAGACCTTACTAGAAAGCTGTATTTTTGCATAATTATAAATTTATTAATCACGTTGTCTAAAACCGACAACAATGCCTCAATAAACTTTTTTTAGGGTACCTATCCTATGCATTTTGCTTTGCCAAGATTTCGTTAGATCTATCTCCATAGTGTTTGTTTAGTTAAAATGAATGCTTGTCAACGATCGAAACAAAGAACGATCGTTAATAACAAAGAAAGAGAAACTTAACAAAGGTAAAAGAGAAAAACAAAATTGGATTAAATGTTAAAAGTAAATTACGACCATATTGCACATGATATGATATCAACTAAAGCCTAGTAGATGGAACCACAAGGTTTCTTCCTTTTAAATGATGTGATGTAGAGTGGTATAATTCTCTCTGCTACAAACTAGAGATGACTTCTATCGTTCTTTGTCATTCATTATTCTAAGTACCTACATATTTACGTTTTAATCATGCAAAGTACCCTAGTACGGTAAATCATCATTTCAAGTCAATAAATGACCAAAACTTTAAGATGTTTCAGTAGCTTTATTAATTGTGGGAAGGAGAATCTACCTTATATTGTAATATTTTGTTAATGATCCTGAAACAATAGGTTTCAGAGTCATCAACAAAATATTATAAAATCTCAGGCAGAACTTTCAACAAATTGGAAAGTCGTAACTGTTGAACACAATCTATGTATTATGAAATGTCAACGTAAGCTTGCCTTCTTGAAGCCACCATGAGACGTATTTTCTGATTCAATCTCTATTTCAAACTTCACACAAATTTCTAATTTATACCTCAGACTAATTATTGTTTAGTAAAAGTTTTTTTTTTCACAATGTGTCCTTGTGAAATTTTGAGATTATGATGATACTGGCATAAAAAAGGTATACTTATTTAGTTTTTAAAAAGTTTGATTTCATTGTTCATAAACACTTTTGGATTTCATTCAACTTCAGTTGTTTGAGTTGCTGGCACCTTAGCTAGCTTGTTGAGCATATTATAGTGTCACAACAGTGTTACTACAGTTTTAAATTTGTAAGTGACCCTTCCTTAATAACAAGTTAAACGTCAACAAGATAACCGTCTCAACTAAGAACTTAAAATAATATGAAGAAACCATGAAAAGCCGAAGGAGTACCAGAATATGGTGGTTGCTTTTAGTGCCTACTGAATTATGAATGAGTGAAAAATAAATATGAAACCTTATAATCCCCAACTCATGGTCTAGTAGTGAATGGAAACAAACCGTCTTGGATACTTGTTGGGTACCATTTTTTTCTTCTACATACAGTTCCATCAGATGAGTCGGAAGACAAACGTCTGTTATATTCCTCAATAAAAACACATGTGACAGTGTCGGTGCGTTTAGTTTCTGCTAGCGTTTATTGTGCTTGCAGTCCTTGCAGTGCATTGAGGATGGTTGTACAAATAAAAAAAATCTAATTTAATTATAGAAGTATATATTTGATCCATTTATTATATTTAATACTTCCTTTTTAGTCTTTTAGAACATTTTAAGATTTGATTGATGTGATGATGATAAAAAGAAGAAACAGATCCTATCTATCTCCACGTAGGCAACAAAGCCTATTGTGGGTGATCTCCTTCCAGTTGCCACTCACATCATTAATTTCAACCTACAGGAAAGTCTGTTTCCGTCATCCTGGAGAAAAGCTTATGTTAAACCTTTGCCTAAACCTTCCAAACCGTCCTCAGTGTCCCAATTCCGCCCAATATCGATACTCACGATCCTTTCTAAGGTACTTGAGAGTACCATCCGGAGTCACTTGATAACTTTCCTCTAATGGTCTGCTAAGTCCATACCAGTCTTGAGTTTCGTTTAGGCTACAGCACTGTAACTGCCTTGGTCAAAATCACAGATGACGTTCGATTAGATATGGAGAACAAACTTCTTATAGTATGGGTCTTACTGGATTTCAGCAGCGCCTTTAACTCTGTTGATTTCGACATCCTCTTGGGCATCCTTTCCTCTCTGAATGTCTCTAATTCTGTAATCGCATGGTTTAGCTCTTATCTTCGGGGCCGCACGCAGCTGGTACGCTCCGGTGAGTCCTCGTCTGACTGGTGTGACCTTACTGCGGGTGTTCCCCAAGGTGGCGTTTTCTCTCCTTTACTTTTCTCAATTTTCATCAATGCTATCACTAATGTTATATCTTTTCAATTTCATCTCTATGCAGACAACTTACAGACAGACGAATTAAAGACCCACGGTATTACTCACCTGTCTATTTCGGGGATTGCCGACTACTTAGTTTCGAGCCTATGGGCACACGAGGTCCTTTCTAAAGGAGGGATGTGTCCACTCCGAAACACACGTGAATAAAACCGTAAATATCTTTAATAAATATAAATACCACGGTTAGCTGCACGAGCTTACTTTCTCAGACTCGGTTTCCGTAAAGAAACAAATTATATTTAAAAAAATAATGTTACCCCGAATTTACTGCTCCTAAATCATTATTATTGAATAAAGTGTATTTATCATCTCTTGATTTTACTATTGTAGATGAAAATATCACATCATCACCCTTTAATTGTCCACTGCTGGACATAGATCTCTCCTTAGAAAGTAGGTTTTAGCCTACTATACCACGTTGCCAGACGGGTTGGTATAGGGTTTGTTTAAAGTTTTCCTTCTCTTTGCAGTGCTGGTGTCCTGCGTGGTCAGCTCCCTCAGTCGGCTCTTACGACACCCACGGGATGAATAGGGATGGTGACACTCCGTATTCTTAATCCGTCACTACACGGATAATCTTGTATTTATTCGTCATCTTCGTAGCAAATGAAAAACTTTGAAATAAATTCATCTCTGAGGCAATTCAAATTTAAAAGCCTCAGTCAGTCTAAGCACATAATGTCTTTAAACTTTCAACTCTACGGGAATGTCATTGGAGTGTATTATGAATCATCGCTTTGATACGGTGAACGGTTGGCACCATTCGGATATTTAAATATTGTTTGAATTTCAACTCTATTGTAAAGGTTTTTAGGTAACTAATGTCTGATCCCTTTAAAGTCAGACGGACACAGGAGCTATATAGAGCAGAGTACTGCTTAAATTTGAGCCGCCTGCCTAAACTCCTTACCAGATGATATTATGAGGATAGTATTATCTGAGTTCTCCTAAAAAGTGTTCCTAATTTGAATCGAAATGAATCCACTTCCAACGCGAGCATTTAGGTATTTGTATATGAGCAAGGAAATTTCCCACTCATATTATGTTAATAACTACCATCTCCGGCTATCAAGATTTTTTTGCTCTCGCAAGGTAAAACTAAAGTGTATTTAAACTCCGGCAAATTATTATTTTCTGTCTTCCGTGTTGTGAGTTGGCACTGGGTACACACAATTTGGGTCCGATAAACCCTGCTAGATATGAAACGAAATTTGTGTAAATGGTTAAAAAAACAAATTGTGAGATAATTGAAGTTATATTAAGTATAAATCTTATGTGCATGACACTGCGCACGTTATAAAAACATTTTGTAATTTCGATACTACTAACGCCATCTATCAATGTATTTAGGAACTTAGCACCAAGAAACTCAAAAACAAGTTTGAATAATTAACTCCGTGTGGTGCTAATAAAGCTTATACTCTTTGGTTATTACTTATTTCTTTGGTTCTGGTTCTATCGTGACAGCTTGTATACCATGCAGTGTTCGTTTGTGCTTCCACATGTCTCCAGATCGCCTGTAATAATTAAATAGTAGAACTGAAACTGCAACAGGTACATAAAGGATATTTTTTGAATAGGTTGTATGCAGAAGAGGTTTAAGATTTGCAGTATGAAATATAAAGTGAAATAACAATACTACATCGCGTATTCTCACGGTAATTGTAAAGGCGAATATCATTTTATTATCGCAAATACGTACCTACAAGTACACACCAGATAAGAATACCTGCAGCTACGTGACGGAGTGTTTTCGAACGATTCTGAATAAACATATACTAACCAGTGTAAAACTATGAAAAATTTTATATGTAAATGTTATCGTCCTCAGACTCAGAAGTGGATGATGGCCATACGATCCGAACTTTCTGGATGTCGGAGTGGACAATCGGGCTACACGTTAAAAAAATATGTAGGCGTTGTTGAACACCTGTTTATGGTCAATTTGGCAGGCACAAGGGTCAGTATTGGTCCAACAGAGGTGTATTACATACATACCCAGATTATCCAACATTTTGTGTCCACTCGCATAGTTGGAGCACTTTAGGTATTAAATCTGGTAAAATTGAGTGTTTTGAAAGGGTTTGTAAGAAAAAATGATCAATTTATGCAGTACAAGTAATTGAGCTGTTCTGAGTTAATGCGTGAAGAGATTTCTTTGCACGTACTTCAGCAAATTTCGCGGATTGGAAATACATCAGTTTTGGATGTAGAAGAAATGTAGAAAGCTGTAATTTATACTTTAAATATTATGTGAAAAAAGCTACTAGCGCGTCTACTTTATGTTAAATTGTCATTTCGCAAAAAGTATATGCGAATTCAGGTTATACTGGCCTATGATATAAAACAAAACAGTTGAAACTTAATACTTTCCACGTTTTGTGCTATTTTGTACAGTCATGTGTATGTCAAGTATAGTTTGTTTTGGTCAATGTAGTCAATTTCTTTAAAATATTGGTTTAAAGGCTCTGGTATAGTTAGTAGCTAAAACACCACACTTTATGATTCATTTTATGACCGACCAAACGTTATTAGTTACCAAAAAGCGTCCAATATTAAGAGTTCACTTTTATCCAAATAATGAAATCATAACCAATTTCAAAATTACAATTACTTATTTTCTTTACCTGAAGGCTGTACCGCAGATATCACATTCATGCGGTTTCTCACCAGTGTGAATTAGGGTGTGGACAGTACGAGCGTATGGTCTTCTGAAGGCTGCGCCGCAAATATCGCAACGGTATGGCCTAAAAATTCAAATAAGTCATATGACCAAGTGCAATTTTTCTTCATGATACGGTACTACACTGCTATTAACAGAGTAAACATATACGTATTGGATAATACTTAGTTTTATACATACAAATACAATTTATAAAGTGACAAAATGTAATTCGGTTTTTATTTCTGAAAGCATGAATCAAGTCAAGTATATGTAAATTGTTTTATTGTTTGGAAAGCCTAGTTTCAACATAGCTGACTAGGATTACTAGTAGAAGAAGATTATGTGTCCTGTTCCAGCTTTTTTCTCTGGCTACAGTATAAGTATGTCATGTTATCTTTTTTATTGATCCGTCTTAATTTTTTAATCAGATTCCAGGCGATTTTTTTTACTCAGATCAATCGCAGCGGTAGTGTGTTCGCTCGCATTGTCTGGGTCACGGGTTCGATTGCCCCTCGGGTGAAAATATTTTTAAATATGGATACGTCTAAGAGGTACTATTGGTCTGCACATTTTTACGAAAAATATGCAGACCAATAGTAAAAATAAAAGAAATGCAATTCTGACTAATTTGTAAACGATTCATATTCGATAGTACATTCGGTTACCACTTACTGGTGCGCGGGTTTGATTCCCGTTTAATGCAAGTATTTGTATGTACCAATGTATATTTATATCACTCTGGGTGTTTTATGTGTGTTGATCCGCGATCTAGAGAATCTAGACTCGTAGTAAAGTCAAGCTCTGCTTGGTTTTGGTCCAAATAATAAATTTGAAATGTACCAGTAACATATTATTACGATTTATTAAGTTGTGATTATTAAACTTATTATAGTATGTAGGTAGTGCGTCTACTCTGAACCATCGATTATTGATGATTTTGCCTATTATTTATGAGTGTGTTTGAAAAAATTGAATTAGGATACTTTAATGTACCCTAATAAATTACGTATTTTGTTTTCAAAGAAAATTCCTTTAGCGTACGCTTAAAATGCATAATTTGGGAACCTTTGATGATTTTGATTTGAAGTTCTACAAAAGGCCCTTTATAAAAATTAAATAACGAGTCTCTAGGTTTTTGAAAAGTCAGTAAGAAGAGAGTGTCAGCCTTGGTGTGGTGTATAAACTACAGTGATCTATATCTAAAAGCAATATTTTCCAGATAATCTAAATGAAACTACAGATGAGTATATGCGGCAGTTGATGGCGTAAGTACCTACTGCGAAACCCGTTGGGTAGGTGACTGCCTGATTTTATTATTTTATTTTATGTATCTGCAGTATGGTGTCAATGGTAAAATTGATAATAATACAATGCGTTATATTCACTAAATTAATTTGTATCGTTTTCCTCTTAAGTAAATACAAATTCTGATTTACGTAGAGAGTTTAAATTCGGTAAGTTCGAAGATTTTTATAAACAGTGCAGTCATTTCAATATACCTTCTCGGAGTTTCGATAAACTAAGGATATCAGACCTCAATTAAGCATTTTAGGAAAATGCTAACTGAAATTTGTTTTAGTGTGAATTTTTAATATAGTAGCGCCATCTATTCGCAGACATGACCATCTGGTAGTTACACAAATGTTTCGCCAGAGGCGCTGTCACAATAAGAGGTACTATAAAAATTCTCAACAAAATAGTAAATATTATGATGAAAATACGTCGATGTGAGTTTTAAACAAAAGGATTGTATCATAACCTTTGGTCTGTGTGAATGCGTGCGTGTTCACGCAACCGTGCCGCGGCTGTAAACGTCTTGGGGCAAGCAGTGCACGCGAAGGGCCGCTCCCCGGTGTGAGTTCGACGATGATCGTCGCGCTCCACCTGCCACACACACCATTTCACATACATTATCATACGGAAAAAATACTGGGAACTATCTGAGTCCATCCTTTATTAAATAACGAGTGCAATGAGCGTGTTTTGCGACTGCAGTCACTGCGCCGCCCCGGGCCGTTGTTTATACAATATTCGTTATTGACGATTAAAGCCTACTATTTCCTACTTATATCATACTTGTAAAAGATTAAATACCTCACATAAGATGGAATGTAACTTCTCCTGCTACCCACTAGGTAGTGATCATCGTGAACAGGTTTTGTTGTTTGCTCTATTACTGGTAGGTACTATTATCTATTCAGTGGTTCTATCAAGTTCGTTCTATGTAGGTACTTTAACTAGATTGTTGTGACTTAATGACAACAACGTGACTATAAGTAAAGAAGCGAGCGAGCAGAAAGGTTAAGTAACTGCCTTCACTCACGTACACCGAGTTACTCGAGAGTCGCAAACGTGTTGCCGCCTTTTGAGTGAAAGAGATTTTGGAAGAGGTTGAGCCTCCGGTAACTTCAGTCACTGGGTTAAACGTATAAGAAGAGTAAGTAAGTAGTAGTAAGTAAGGAAATGTGTACGAATAAGAACAATGATAGAATTGCCTTGATTAACATCAGTTTTCTGTGAGGCCGTGGTAGCAATAAAAATATGTTTATTTACACCACAAACAACACAATGTACAATGATTTATAGAAATTAGTGCAAAGATAAAAGTTGTATTTCGGGGTGGACTGGAGCCTAAACAGGTCAATAGCTGTATTTCAGGACTCCAGGATTCACACCCGCACGGTTAAGTTGGTCGATGTATTCTGGTGCGTTTGAATCAATCAATCCGGTAGAGTCGGCTGTTATGTGCAGAAGTATAAGCAAGCAACATATTTTATTATCAGCGCAAAAACGCAAATACTGAGGATCACTATACCAAGGTATGTTATTCCTCACCTCATAAAACAAATAGGTATAAATCCCAAACCATACTTATTGTTGGAAAAGGGACATTGGAACTGACTTACTGTACTATTCTCATTTAAAACTACCTATATATTGCTATTTTATACCTGCTAAATTCCCACTGAACATTTAAAATAATCTAATTCATAGATTTAATTCTATTTAATAGAAAACGGATTTTTGTGACCGTTCCGTAAGTACTACAGTTTCCGTTTTCCGTATCAATAGAAAATCTCACGTCCTAATGCGATAGAATGTTTTGTCCTTTTCTCTCTTGACACATGTCAATTATAATAGGTGATAAGGGACAAGTTCTTGGTTTTATTTGTTTTTTTAACATTCTTTTATAGACCTTAAATGTTTTTGGATAGACTTAGAGACATAACCTCCTCAGCTTATAACGTCATCAAATGAACCAGACACAGGGTTTCGACAACTATGTACTTGCCGATAGGCTTCCTGATGAAAGATGACCTGAACTAAAATGTACCTTCTAAAATATGATTGACGAACACTTAAACTTGTTAGCATTATGGTCATTATTAAGGCAAAATGTTTTGGAGTTAATATTTAATATTCTAAAACATGTATGTAACCTTGCTATCGCTTATTTCTATATTTTGTAGTCCTATCCCTTTCAATCGTACATCTTATTTTCTGACATTAAAACTTATTTACTAAAAAGGAAAAATGAATGATTCGATAAACCTGTCGGATTAAAAAAAAATAACGATTGCCTTTTTTTACGCTGATAATATACCTAATAGGTTTTGAATAATTTAAGGTATGTATATAAAATCTCAAACTGCATTAAAAATGGATCAGGCTGCAACATTTTTTTAACGGAAATTATGTTCTTACATTACACGTCCAAGTAATGACATTATAAAAAACACATGAAAAACTGTCAGGTTGTTGGCATCTGGAGTCGTGGGACGTATGTTATACCTTAACTTTGAAAGCCTTAGGACACAGATCGCAGGGGTAAGGTCGTTCGCCGGTGTGCATTCGCATGTGGATCGCCAAGTGACCCGACTGATTGAACCGACGCCCACACACGCGACATGGGTACCCCTAGAAGTGAAAATGTTTTATAGGTACACTTTATATAAACCTGGGTTAATTTTTATGTAAATTTAGCTTGCTATACACAAGCTAATGTTTTAAGTATAATAATACATACATCACCTGAAGGTTGACTGGGAGAGAATGCCTAATGGCATTAAGTCCCTGCCTTTGTATAACATGTGCATTGAGTTTTAAATAAATAAGTATGGTTAAGGACGTCCATTCCACAGAGGTTTTTATACGTTGTTAAGCTTTAGAGCACTCTTTCAATTAGATACCCGTTGTTTCAATGCCATGATTTTTTTGTTTTCATACCATTTTCATTTATTTCTTTATTTAATATCTTTTAAATGTTTTCAATATGTAGCAATTACGCCTCCTACTGCTATCTAACCACGGTCGACGTAGAGACAGAGACTCCTATTTGACCCGAAATCTGTAGTGCGAAGTAAAACTAGCAGGTTCCAGTTTTAAACTAAAGTAGGACACAACTCGGTAACTAGATGGTATTTTCAGTCAGTGTGCAGTTGTTGTCGGTTAATAGTTTCCATGCAGTTATGTCAACTGTACAAAAACTGCAGTGGCATGCAGTTTGTTGAGATCCTTAGAGTACAGGTCTGTACTACTATAGTAACTAACTTATTAACAATTTCACTTGGTACCAATATTTGTGCCGCTATGGTGCGTTGTATAACTTACTGGTTTGGTAACTTTGTGCATTTTCTTGTGTGTGTGTAGTGCACACATGCTTCCTAAGACTTTGTCGCATTCTTCACACACATAAGCCATTAATGGAGCTCCTTGAGGTCGGTCTTCACCGCGCTTGTGACGATATAGCTCTCTGTAAAAAAAATGTACATGTTATTAAATGTCATATCTCAACACTAGTACCCAACTTTGATTTAAATAGGCAATCAATTCATAAAAGTATACGATTTCAAACATGAAAAATGATCTATTTTTATTTTAATTAAAATATCAATCAGCGATCATAGTTTACGCCATCTAGAGAGCGTAAAGGAACAAGGCGACATAAAATTTGTCGGGCTGAAGGGTTGCCAACTATATGGTTAATCGTCAAATGATTTATGTAAATTCTAAAGGGCACAATTTGTAGTCAATAATTTAAGAAGTGGTGTGATACCTTAAATAGTCTTTATACTGAAAGGAGTAGTACCTGGCGGTCGCAAATAGTTGGTTACATGATCCACAATTCCACATCTTGTTATTGTTACTATTTGTATAAGCACGTCTTGTATTTCTTGCAGGTGGAGGTTTATGTGACTCTATTTTATGAATTCTTAACTCCTCAGTTGATAAATATTGCTTGCCACAAATATCACAAGAACAACATATCTCTGTACAGTTGGAAACTTTACTGTTTATACTGCAAGTATCCTAAAATTAAGTACTAATTTAGTTAAATGAGATTGAGTACGAAAGAAAACATTTAAACGTTGAACCTACATTTGCATTTTCAAACATGTTGTTGTCATCTTCTATAAAGCAAGTTAATCGATGTTTATCTAGAGCATCTCCATCAGCAAATAAGCCGCTGCAAAAATCGCAAACATACATCGTATATAGTTTGCGTGAAGATACACTGCTTTTGCCGTTAGCGTCGATACAACATAATTGTTCTAAAAAATAATATCATCTCTTTATTATGTTAGATTACTATGTAGGCCGTTTGTTTCATATACATTACCTGTGGGTTCAATTTCTAGAGCAGTTGACAACACACGCTCACACATTTTACATACAAGCCATTCGGTTTCAAAGTTTTCGCTACTGTTACTTAGCTCTAAAACAAAAATTATTACGATATTAAAAGAAACATTTATTTGCTTTTGAAAAGCTCAATTATACGTGTAAACAGTATGAAAACCTTATATAAATTCAGAAAAGTTTAACAAGTTGGCAACCTGCTGGGTAGTTTAGTACAAGTATACACACCTTCCGTTATTTTAGCTCCTACTTTCTCATTTCCTGTAAGAGGTGAGATAGTGTTTTGTGTATATTCTGAAGAACTGTCAGGAGTTGAAGTATGTAGTAAAATAGTATGGTCTAATAGATCCGACTCTGTAGTAAATATTTCATGACATATCATACAGGAGTGTAAGGCAAGTAGGTCTGGGCCCCCACTGTCCACATTCTGAAAAATATATTTTAACGGCGTTGGGTAATCTTGTGACATAATATTAGCAGTAGTAATAAAGTAATGATTAATGCAAATCTATATACAAATTTTAAAACTGGCACTAAACCTTAGGTTTGTCAGCAACATCTTGAAGAGGCAAAAGAAACTGATTAACAGTATTTTCATCGAGCAGAAGAGGTTCAAAATTAAATAAATTATCTGACTGAACTATGTACAGTTCGGTGTTCTGTACAGTTGGAGTATTATCTTGGAATAAACTAGAATTGTCTACATTAAAAAATCTTCCAGAATCATTGGAATTAAAAGCAAGTTGATTTTCCACACTGTTAACTGTAAGTAATGTATCAGTTACATTTATATTTGAACTTGATTGTTGTCCACTGTTTTCTGAATCGTTATTAAAAAGTAAATCATATGTTTCAGATAATTCTTTGAAAGGGTAATCTGGTGGATCAAACATCATATTTTTGCTGCAACAATAGTTTTGGTATTAATTAACGTGTTCAAAAAAAAAGAAATCTTACAAAATTCTAAAGAACGATCATTCTCATAGAGTTTTTTCTACATTTCTAGGGGTTTTGTTAACCCATCCACTATTATAGGTAAGCGTCAGCAATGTGGTCGCAGTTTTATAGACAACGTAAAAATATTTTTTATGAATTAAAAAATATGGTGACACTAATAATCAATTATTTATCATAACATAGACGATAAATGTTTAGAAGTTAGTTTGCGTTTTAAAAAACAAACCTAAAATTAACATTATTCAAATTTCTGCAACGCCTGATTCAGATTATTGTCATAGATGTTCCGAATCATATGTGTGCGTAAGTTCTAGTGTTCGTCATACATACGTAAGAAAACTTTGGGTTCAATTTTAATCAAATTTTATTTTTGAAACTGTTCATTATGGAATCTCCACAGATGGTTAAATGGTTATAGTTTTTGCAACACTTTGTTGACAGTGCCGTTGACACATGTCACACATGTCAAGTTCTCGCCTCGACTGCCATCGTTCATTCATTGGATTGGATTGTATGTATATTATTGTTTTTGTTTAGAAATTTTGTGTTCAGTGCCGAATTGTTGTATTACGTTTTTTGGTTATAATGAAAATATTAATCAATTACGATGAAAGTAGACGACGCTTTCTCAAATACATGTCGACAGAATTAAATTTAATTAGGTAAGTGAGGTTTTTCATAGCATTGCTTAATTTTATATGAAAATAAAATTATTTGTCTATGCTTTCATTACATATTAGAAATATGTTATTATAGCATATCTTGGACATATAAATTCACGAAAAGGTGGGTTATATTTTATGGAATGTTTTTATTTTAGATATTGTGCTCTGTATAAATAATAATTTGAATATCTGCCGGTATCATTTAGTTGTCCGACGTTTGTTATTATTGGTCTTCAAATACATTGAATTATTATTTATTGAATATAGCATTGTAGAAAACCTACATTAATGTAAATAAAAACTATAGTCTTTCTGTTTATCAAAGTTATGTTATATTTAAATACCTTGTATTTAATTTTGTAGTTTTATTTTTTACTTTATTTATTATTTAGGTAAGTATATGGTGCTTTATATTGATAAGGTGACTTAATTTTTTTACACACATGTGGATACAGCAACTCTATTGAATGTACACTCATTAGAGTTCCATCATACACTGTAATTTATGTCATAAGCAGTGTTCTGGTTCTTAAGATTATCACTTGACATTGAAGTCAAATCTAACTCGAAAAAGTAATTGTCTAATATTATATAAGAAATAAGATTAGAACATTCAAAATAAAATAATTATTCATAATATTAGTACATAATATGTATTCAATTAGTAAGTTAACCAACCATTTTCATGTATTCGAAATATAATATATCACATATACACATCCCATACCATCTCATATATACTCCTGGTGTTTACACAAGTTTAAATAGTTCTTTTAAGAGTTTTAACAAAATTAAATGTACAATTTAAAAATGTTTAATATAAAATTTGGTTGTGGTTAAACAGGTGGTGAATTTGTGTAGTGTGTATGTTCAGTTAGTAAGTTGGTTAAATATAATGTACCAAATGCCTAACATGTTTTGTAGATGTTTAACATGACCATGACCTGATAACGCTCACAATGGACAGACTTAAATTAATATGAATTTTGTTACAATATCTAGTCAGAGTCATGTTTTATCATAATTATAGTTTATAGGGAGCCTACTGGTATTTAAATGGGTATAAGAGCCATTAAACAAATCTATATAACATTCCACATTGAATTGTATAACAAATCAACATGGTTGCAACATTCACAGTTCACAAATCAGTACTGGTCACCACAAAACAAGGAGAGTCACTTACCTTATGATGCTTCTACTGTGGAATCAATCTACCAGGCTGAAATACTTGGATCCAAGTGAGTACCTCAATTTATTTTTACTTCTTAACACATTGTAACTCTTGTAAAACATGTATTCTCAAAGCAGGCCTGAGCCTTACTGATTTAAACAAATGAAAATATAAGGTCAATGCTTTATAGACTCAGGTGCAATGACCTATTTATTTTTCAAAAATCCACCAGTAATTTTTTAAGTGATTTATTGTTCAATGTGCACACCTGTTATTTTTATAAAATAATATTTCAATTTCTTATATTTTATAGAATAATAATTATTTTTATTACTAAATTATATTCTTATAAAACATTAATATTTTTTAAATCTGTAAATTATTAATGAAACTATGGCCTATAAAATAGATGCTAATGTATACTGTGTACATTGCTGTTAAAACATTCAAGCTGAAATAAATACTTTTATGAACTACATGTGATTGAAAAACTAAATGATAAAGAAATTGGTTATTCATAATTAACTATTTCTCTAATTGTTGTTAAACTTATTTTTATTTTTAAAGAAGTTCTAATAATATAGTTTGCAACCAGTTTTGAACAAATTATTTTTATGTTAAGTATGAATGAGGTTTGAAAAATTGCCAGACACAAAAATAGCACAAGCTTTGAAAACCTGCCTTCTTTGCCTCCTACCCAGCGAGGTAAGTTTGTTTCTAGCCGGATGATCCCAACGTCGTTGCCGATTCTGTCACTAATGTGTTATTTGTTACATTCACATTAATTCCCATCGGTGGCAGATACGAGCCTTGGTTCAACAGATCCTGTAAAACGGCGTCCCGCCGAAAGCAGGAATGTTGCCAACCATAGGTGACTGCAACGACGGTAGGTGATCTAAATACCAGCACTCTAAAAAACAATACAACTTTGTCTCCAGGTTCCTCGTAAGAGCAATTGCTACGGCAAAATCGGAGCACATCAGCCGGTTTGGTGTGAGACTGGTTAGACTTTCTTCTCGAGCTCGTGAATTCTGGTCTTCTGATAAGGCTGTCCAGGAGAATTTCTGTAGTGAATTTCTTCCAACCCTGTAGATGGAAGATAAATGACGGGCAAACGTGCTACCGACCAGGTGCCAGAACTCTATGCCGGAAATCCGGTTCACCATTCATAAGTCTAGTGGGCCCGATGGAATCTCTCCTATCGTGCTGAAGACGTGTGTTACAGAGTTAGCACCGGTTTTAACGCGTCTTTTCGACTCGGTCTTCCCTCCTACTCCCAGAGCGTTGTCCTGAACTCCTGGAAGGTAGCGTTTGTGCACCCCATCCCCAAATAAGGTGACCGCTCTGGTCCCTCCAACTACAGGCCTACAGCCATAACGCCCTTGTTCTCTAACATTATAGAATCTGTAATCAATTGCAAGCTCCTGGGGTACTTTCTCCGGTACATCAATGACCGACAATATAGTTTTTGCCGGGGTCGCTCAGCTGGTGATCTTCTCGTCTATCTACAAACCGGTGTGCATAGGCGACTCCCCAGCACAAGCCTCTCCCATGGTCTCCATGGGAGAGGCTTGTGCTTGGACATAGGCGAAGGCCTTCAATTAGTTCTAGCATAAGATAAGGCGCTTCTTTCGCAGCTCCCTTCCTATGGGCCTTGCAGTTTCCTTGCGAGCGAAGCATTAAGCATGCTCCAACTTGAAATCCGCAAGACTCTGTCCGACACTGTTTCTTCAGCATATCAATGACATGTTGTAAACTCCATCCATTGTTATGCGGACGATAGTACGGGAGATGCGCTTTATACCGGCCGCCACAATATTTCTCGGGAAAACGTCATCGAGATTCGAAACAAACTTGTGTCCGTAATTGAAACTTCCTTAGCGGAGATTTCAGACTAAATCTAGTCCATTTTAACTCAAAAAGGTCACAGGTTTGCGCGTTCACCGCAAAAAAGATACCGTTCATCAAATCACCTCGGTGTGAGAGCACCTCCCTAACTGCATCGACATATCGAGCTAAGTCCAGTTTCGGGGTTAACTTAGGGGGTAAGGTCAAATTAGCCTAGAAGAAGCTCGGTGTGCTGAACAGATCGAGGCAGTATTTCATTCCCGCCCACCGGCTCCCAACTCTATAAGACGAAAGTTCGCCATTTTTGCCTCGTACAACCAATCTATCGAACAAGTTATGGTTTGCCGTATTTCCGGACCGATACGACCTTCACCTTCAAAAAAGAAGCGTACTCCTTCCTAAAAAGCCGGCAACGCGCTTGTAACTCCTGAGTTGCAGGCGTTTATGGGCGGCGGTAGTCACTTTCCATCAGGTGACCCGTCTGCTCGTGTGCCTTTTCCATAAAAAAATAACTAAATATGTTTCTTTAAGAAATAATTGATACTCATGTTTTAGCATAAATAATATTAAAAATGTAGTGTCTTTTTACAACAGATCGCTTCGTGGTCGGATTTCGACCAATTTTCCATCAGTTTCAGTTACTTGAGTACTTATATTACTTGTTCTTCTATTTCCAGTTTCTCAGTGCGCCGGATTATGATGTTAAAGTTCTCTGAGTACTTAGAGAACTACTTGTGGCCGCACTACGAGACGGACGAGGCGACGCATGCTCACATGATGTCTATCATTGTCATGATCAACGAGAAGTTCCGGGAACGAGTGCCGGCTTGGCAGGTAATATTAGTCATAATATCAGCCACACCAGTAGGTTGGCTCTTAAATTAGCAAGTGTTCATTAGAACACGATTCCTTGATATTTTTGTAAATACTGTTGTGTAATACTGCATTTATGAAAGCAGGTAGTAAGTATCGTAGTAGGTATATAGTAGATAATAAGTATAGTAAAAACCTCCTTTCTAAGGAGAGGTCTATGTCCAGCAGTGGACTATTAAAGGCTGTTGATGATGATGATTTATGAAAGCCTCAATTTATATAATTATCGCTGTAAATTATCGTCTAATCGCAGTTTCAGCTTTAAATAACATCTTCATCATCTTTTGCTTTTAATAACATCTAGACCCCAGATCAAGGATTCCCAAACCACTTTTTCAAAATGAACTGATACCATGACCCCTATAGCCAAATTACTTTAAAATCCTAAATCCAGTTTTTTCCTATTGATATAAAATGCTTATAAATTTAAAAACTTTGTCGTTGGTTAAGTGAGTAAACTTGACATCATATTCTCGTCAAAATTGAACAAAATGAATAGATTAGTCAGTCTTATAACAATTTGGTACACGTAACACAACTTATACAGTATCTTGAAAGTTTCACATACTTGTGCTAGATAATAGGGGTCGATTTTTAGACCCCGTCGACCCCCCAAAACTAGTTTTCGTTTATGTTGACACCTCCGAAACCGATATCGACCACTTTGGGAATCCCTGCCCTATATGTTGAATACAAATGCTATTAGATTGAATGTAAGTTAATATGAGCTATGTCGTTCTCGGACTTACTTAACTAGTCCTTACGTATCATAAAACTTATTTTTAATATCATGTCGGAGGGCAACAGTATCTTTTTTTTTTTAAAGACACCCTTCTTTTTTTTAAAGTATATGATTCGGTTGATAATAAGTAGTTACCGCGTAATTTACCAACATTTGTTTTCCTTGTAATCGATCTTTCAAAAGCCTTTGCACTCCTTGAAGAAAACTATAATATCATCAATAGCCTCTAAGAGTACCCTGCTAGACATAGGCCTCTTCTTAGAAAGGAGGTTTTCCGTAGTTTGTTTCTTTCGTCGGCTCTTACAACACCCACAGGATGATTAGGCTTCGTGACGCTCTGTATTTTTAATCTGGTGTATAAATTGACCACTATTCTTGCTGAACTGCGACTACTAAATAAAAACCTGTTTTAGGAGATTAGGCATATATTCTTATCAAAAATGCATTCCGATTTCAAAATACTCACTATAAAGCAATATCATAACTATAATCTTATTCTATTTCAGGTATTCTTGAAAAAAACCAGACTAATCACCAGAATTCTTCGAACAAGTACTGCGCGCTAGTTTAGCTGAAGATAATAAAACAATAAGCGGTAACAGACAGACATTTAAAATACGCGCAATATCATAATTTAAGTAGATACTTTCGTCACATAAACCCTTGACGCGTGATTACTATTACTAGGTGATTATTTATATTTTTGGCTCTCCGTTGTACCCCACCGGATAAGGAAATCGCAAATTCTATGTATACACGGTGATTTTGAAAGCGTTTTGGAATAGAAAATTTTGAATTATTTATCTATAACAGAAGCTATATATAACGTTAATTTGATCAAATTTTTTTTTTTTTTCATCAAAGTCGATATTCATATCGTTTACACAGAAAAAGTGAGAACCAGTAGTAGGGCTATTCAATCACACGTAGGTAAAGACTACAAATAGAAATACTATGCATTTTAATATCGAGTCACATAAAATCGTATTCGCCAATAAAAACAAAGCTACCGAGTTGCGCCGGAGTCGTCCAACCAATAACGTATGCCCCGTAGGCGCATGCGCGGGACTCACCTGTAATCTTGAGGCGTCCTTCGCTTTAAGTCGGTCAGTAATACCATAACATCGTGACGGCACGCTACATTGATTAGCGCTAAAATGAGTCGACAGTACGAATTTTCAAACGTGGAGTACTTGGCAAAGGTACAGCTGTACGCTACTGCCAACTACAACTTGGAAGAGGCTCGGCATTTGTATTCCCAGCCGGAGCATTTAAATGCACTACGGCTACGTCGAATTGAAAGCCTCAAATTCCCTCCACACCTTACCATCTTGGCTGCAACCCAACGTCTTCTCGACCACGGACAATTTCTTGCGCCTACTCATGCGCAAAGTCAAGGACGTTTAAATTATTATTCGCCGGAGTGTAGTGCGTGCATACCTGGACAATGAGTTTAGTGATCGGTGGATAGGTCGAGGAGGGCCTGTGCCTTGTCCACCTAGAAGCCCGGACTTAATGCCCCTGGATTTTTTCTTATGGTCGGAAATAAAAAGACTTGTTTATACACGGGAATATGAAAGCCGTGATGATTTACGCATTGCGATAGTGGACGCTTTTGATATAGTGAAAAGTGATAGAGACACATTAAGAAAATTAAAAAACAATTGCATTAAAGTGACGTTTGTGTATTAAACGCAGCGGACTCCATTTTGAGCAGTTGCTTCTATACAGAGAAGTGTAAATAAACTGTAAATAGGTATGTAAGTTAATTATTCTGTAGATAGCTCCGATTTCTTAAATACGCCTGAAATATTTATACCTACAGTCCGTTGATAAATTGATTTGTTGTGAAAAGAAAAATCGTGGTTAATAATCGAAAAGTAGTTTAAATAAAATAGGTATTTCCGACGGTCCTAAGTCCGTGTAAAGTATGAAGGACAAACTGGAGTCTATCTAAGTAAGTACTCGCTAGCTCGCGCATACTTTTATCAGTTGCTGTTAGCGTCAGCGGTGCGCAGCGGCCGCCGAAACGCGCACGGACGTGGACGTGTTTCATTCATATAAGATAATGAATGAATGATCAGTGCATTTCTTCTTTCCAAGTCGATCGAGTAAAAATGAATATTAATTAAATAATTGATTTAACCATTTTTATTGGTACTATAGATGATGCCAAATTAAAATGTTTTGTTTCCAAAACGCCTATAAAATCACCGTGTATAGTCTAGCAATGTCTAAGTTGAACCGACTAAAACTATATAGTGTGTGATAAGTGATAACAGACCTAGTAACGAGATTGAATACTTACATTTATATCAGTTTTACTGACTTCATAAGTTATGATAAATTCTAATAAGCTATTGGGTCTGTGCACGACTTTAACGCCACCTAGCATCTGCAATTTTGATGGCTCTAAGGCTCTGACGCTTTTGACATTTCATCGCGACATTGTGACAAGAATAAAAAATTATGTATTAATTTATATTACAAAATTACTGTGATACCGTGATTTGGGTGGTCAAAAGGTTGTAAAATCATTTTAGGTCATTGAAATTAAATGATGTCAGTAAAATTTATTCAAAAAGTGTGTTTTATTCTGATTACTAGCGATCCGCCCCGGCTTCACACGGGTGCAATGTAGATACTACTAATACTTTTTAATGTAGTGTCAGTGTGGAATAATTAATCATACTATTATTATGATAGCACTATACTACAGGACATCTTTGTATGCAATATTTATAGGCCCGCTCCGATCCTGCCGGCCGCTGCCACCCGAGACGGACGTACGGTTCGAAGGTCGTTGGGCCCCCACATTTTAAACCTCTAATATCTTCCAAAATATTAATGGCAGATGACAGAGCCTACATTATTTTTACTTTTGGCCACTATGAGCGCTGCGATAGATAATATTATACCTAGTACTTCACACTCAGCGAATAAACATCATTCCTTAATTTTCCATCGTTCTAAGTATTTTCTTTAATTATATTATTAGTATTTATTTAGTATTCACCTATTAGTATTTATTTAGTAGAGTATTAAATCTACCAACTGTTATAAGTACAAATAATGGTGTATAGCAATGCCATCCGATTTTGATAAATTTCAGCCCTACTTCGCCACCCCCAAACCTCATTAAAATTACAATAATGCCATATGCTAAATATAATTGTTGAAACTCTTTTATAAACACTGCTGCTGCAAAAAAACTGCTCATCAGAATCGGATGACATTTTTTTTCTAACGTTTGGTGGTGTCAATAATGAGGTGGTTTGCTCATTAATTTTGAAGCGGTAGCCTCACAACTTTTGTGTTTTTTCCGTCGCTAGTTCGAAAACTGCCCACGTGTTTCGGCTGGCAATTTTTATATAATTAGGGAATTACCTTTAAAGCAACCGCATTTTTATCCATTCCTTATTGCATCCTTCCATAAAAATGCAATTTATGAAGCTCCATCCGCTTGGTATTAGTCAAATATTTGTGTACCGGGCTATTGATACGTACGATGAAACCTCCTCTGTTTGAGAAAAATAAGTTTAAAGAACTGTATTAAAGCCAATGGAGATCATTTTAAATGATTTTCATTTATATTCAATGCTATTATATGAATGTATAAGCTAACACATTGCACTAGTAAATGTTTTATGCAATAGGAAATAAAAGTTTTTTGCTCGTAATGTGTTTTTTTTTAATGTAGATCAAATTACCTTTTACAGCATATCATTAAAATGAATATCTAGTAGATATCAGAGATTTAAAATGGGGGGGCAAGGCCTGATCTTTCCTTATGTCCGTCCCGGAGCGGAGCGGGCCTATGTATATTGCATACAAAGATGTCCTGCAGTATAGTCTTATCATAATAATAGTATAATTTGTTACTAATGCGCAATCCGTAAGCACCTTCAAGACTATGCTTTATGAGCATTATCTGTTTCTCGTAGTTGGAAATTAGTGTATGTATGTATAGCATTAATGTCTAAATATAGATTAGTAGGATTTATGTATGTATGATAAATATTACATAGGTTAAGACCTTATTTATTTGTCTAATTTCTGTATACCTATCACCAGTTCAAAATGAATACAGTCCATCCAAAGGTTGCCTGGAAGAAATTGCACAAAGCGATAAGGCCGCCCTTTGTACATTACATTGGGGTGTGAGGGGCGAACCACCATCTTTCGCCCCAAGCCAACCTCACCTGCCCGCGGTGCATCCTGCTGAACGACGAACGAGGCTCTGGCGACCGACCGATGGCGGTATATCCATCCCAATAGGCGTAGCTAAATACAACAGGCCGGTGACGGGCAGCAGCGTTACCGGTGCGACAAGTTACGCCCTGCGATCGCCAACCCGCCTGCCCAGCGTGGCGATTATGGGCAAACCCCTCCCATGCAGACGCAACAAAGGCCACGGCCCCCAGTTCCCGGCGGCCCCGCTATTCCTGGTCATGGTGGCGACCTCGGTAAAGGCGGGGCAGGGGGTGCGAAGAATCTCCGGGCTACGGGAGGCCACCACAACCCACTGACCCTGGCTATGTACAACGGACGCACGCTACGGCTAGACTCGCATCTGGCGCAACTTGAGGTGGAACTTGGGAAGATTAGGTGGCATATCCTAGGGCTATGTGAAGTCCGAAGAGAGGGGGAGGACACCATAACCCTCGAGTCAGGCCACCTAATGTACTTCCGCGAGGGAGACCAACAATCCCAAGGTGGGGTTGGGTTTCTGGTAAATAAGTCCCTATCTGACAACGTTGTGGAAATTTCCAGTGTGTCGACCAGGGTAGCGTACCTCATTATCAAGCTCACCGAGAGGTATAGCCTCAAGGTTGTGCAAGTGTACGCACCGACCTCGGCACATTCGGACGACGAGGTGGAGGATATGTACGATGACATATCGAGGGCCCTCCACTTCACAACTAAGACCCACTACAGCGTTGTTATGGGTGACTTCAACGCTAAAGTGGGAGTACAGAATTGCGGCGAATCGGTAGTAGGATCCCATGGATTTGGAAGCAGGAATCATAGGGGGCAAATGCTGGTCAACTTCCTCGAACGGGAGGGGCTGTTTTTGATGAATTCTTTCTTCAAGAAACAGCCCCAAAGGAAGTGGACGTGGCAAAGCCCCGACGCTATGACCAGAAATGAGATCGATTTCATCATGACGGATAGAAAGCACATATTCAGAGACGTCTCAGTGATCAATAGGTTTAATACCGGTAGTGATCACCGACTTGTCCGGGGCTCTCTGAATATCAACTTTAAGGCGGAACGTGTCTGTTTGATGAAATCCAGGCTCCGACCAACTCGGCTCCAAGCCATGACAGGATCTGAAACGTTCCAGTCAAAACTGGAAAACCGATTCGCTGCCGTGGAAACCACAATCGACGTAAACCAGAACCTCAAAAATGTGGTTCAGATCCTCAGGGAAGAAGGTATGAGATTTTGTGAAATGCAGCGTAAGGGCAGGAAGTCGAAGCTTTCAGAAAGGACCCTAGGGCTGATGAAGAAACGACGTGAAAACCCACCTGTCACTTTGTCGGCAAAGCGGACTCTAAACCGA